GTTACTATATTCTTAGTCATTCTGCATAAATCTGCAGATTTTGTACAAAATGTTGCGCAGACATGGCAAAAAGAACCTTTCTGCCCCTAGATATTTAGTGAAGTTTTTTGTCTTTTATTGACAACCTAAATATGACTTTTGTATTTATGGATGTTAAAAACCCTGAACTATAAGAGGGATACGTTATAACAGTTTTATAAATAACTGCTGTGAAAATAGATGTGTTATGAGGTTTAGAGACACACAAAACACCCCGCTGGCTTTTGCCTTATCCACCTTGTATATAAAGTTTGTAATGAATGCAAGTATATTATGTCAAGTTGATTTTTGGGGTTAGTTAACTATTAAAGTGAGACAGAGACGACTGGCCCAGAATAAACTGGCCACAAGTATTTGTATACATTAATGGAGATTTATAACCCAATTACTGCCAAAAAGATTTATGAAGCAGCCACACAGAAGTAAACCGACTGCTTCTAGCATCCAGGCAAATGAGGCTTTTGTTGATCAGTATAATCTGAACTAATTGGCTGAGAAAGACCCAGTGGGCCCTAATCATTAATCATTACTACAATGCTTACTTTGTTTTGAAGAATTCTTTACATTTGGTCACTATTCATTTTTAGTCTGAAATTATTTTAGTCTCCAATTTAATTTTAGTAGACCACAAAAAAAAAAAAAAAAAATTTCACTTCAGTTTCAGCTCTCACTTAAACACATTTAAAATATATTTAGCTCATAATAATCATGACTAGAATAAAAGAAATAGTTCAAAACTAAAACAGAAAAAGGTTCATATTAGTCACACTGCATGTTGGCTTTTGAAATCTCTTGCTTTACTTTTTATTAACTTTTTTTTCTAAACATTACAGCAGTTCCTTTGAATGAATCCTGGCATCAGGTGCAATACTTACTGAAACCTGTGGAACGGCAAGTGTAATCAGTTTCTGCTAAGATAAATCAGCAGTTTTTGGGCTCCAGGAGAACGTCTGACTCTGTTTTCTCAAGTGGGTCAATGCGTTCTTTATAGATACCTAAATGGTAACCCAAGTCCCAGCACAGGGAATGCCTTTTGGGCTGCGGAGATGATGTGAAATCAGTGTGTTACAGAGGAAACAGACTCTCTGTTGGATGATGTAACAGAACTCAGCAGATTAAAGCTGAGGTTTAACGGTTTTGTAGATTATAAATATGACAAAACAACAAACCCACTATACTTCAAGTTATTACATTCAAGCATTACAAAATGCATCCCAATAGAGGTAATTTGGTTAAAAATGCTGCTGTTTGACATATACCTCTGTGTCTTGTAACTGATACTTCAAACGGTAGATTACTTTTAGCCTTTTATATTACATTGCAGAAATTTACCAGACGTTTCATTACATAAATTTACCGTAAAATAACAGACGTTGCATTACAGAAATGTACCTTAAAATAACAGGCATTAAATTTCAGAGATTTACTGTAAAATAATAGACGTCAAATTATAATGGTCAACTTTATATTAAAGCAAATAGACTTGTTATCTATAAAGATTCAACTAATTTAAGCATTTGATTAAAAAGAATTAATATCAAACAACAAAAATGCTCAAGGACATAACAATTCTGCCATTTCCATATAGTGCTATACTTTCTACAGTTCTACTTTTTTTGTATATCTTAAATTCTAAATACTGTTACTTTTTGTTTAATATTTTGATCGAAACTGGATTCCTGGAGGGCCGCAGCTCTGCAGTTTTGCTCCAACCCTAATCAAACACAGCTGATCCAAATAATCAAGGTGTTCGAGATTCTTTTAAGCGCCTTGATTATTTGAATCAGCTGTGTTTTATTAGGATTGGAGCAAAGCTGTACAGAGTTGCGGCCCTCAAGGAATTGAGTGTGAGACCCACGATTTAAATGAAATAATAATTGTAACTTACACACCAATGTGTACAATGTGACATTAACATACTTTTCAATGAATGCAGCTTGTAGTAAGGAATTAATAATTTTATGATAAATATGGTAAAATTCTCCCAAATTTTGGTTACAAACTAAAGAAACTTGTAGGATTGTGGACTTAAGAAGTTTTCACATTAAAAACTGCAGATAAAGAGCCTTACCTCAATCTGCCTGATGCTGAATGACACATTCATGCATTTGGATTGACTAGTGTAATGCACTTTTTGTTGGTTTACGCACCAAATTAATCAAACATGCTGCAATACATTCAAAACTGCATTTTCACACACACACACTACACCATGTCGGCACATCACTGGTGTGCTTTATGGCTTGCACTGGCTCCCAGTTCAGTCTCGTTGTTTTTAAACACTCACACTTGCATTTAAAGCTCTACATGGTACAGTTCCTTACTATATCTGTGACATTACACATCTTCTGGTTCCCTGCCGTCTGCTGATTCTCTCAACACCTCAACAGCCACAATGGGGAAAAAAAATCAATGGGGAGAGAGCCTTCTGTTGCTGCACCCAGGTTAGGGAATGCTCTCCCTTATTCCTGTAAGAAATGCACACACTATCCACACTAGTTAGCTTTACGATGTTAAAACTCATCTATTTAAGGCTGCATTTTTAAAATCTTAATCATTATAATGTATTCATATTTTATAATGGTTTCATGTTGAACCCTTGTATTTTATTGCATGTTTAATTTCTCTGTTGTTGAAGTGCTTTGTGTTTTAGAAGAGCACATTATAAATAAAATGTATTATTATTATTAGAAAGAAGTTGCCTGCTTTTTTCTTACAATTATTCATTTCATAATCTATAATTTCATCTCTTAGATACAGTTGAAATCTGATTTTTGTTTTTCTCGATAGTCTACAGAACAAACCATCGTTATACAATAACTTGCCTAATTGCCCTAACCTGCCTGGTTAACTTAATTAACCTAGTTAGGCCCTTAAATGTCACTTTAAGCTGTATAGAAGTGTCTTGAAAAATATGTATGGTCATTATGTCATTATAAAATAAATCAGTTATTAGAAATGAGTTATTAAATCTATTATGTTTAGAAATGTGTAAAAAAAATCTTTGGGGAAAAAAACGAGGGGGCTAATAATTTAAGGGGGCTAATAATTGACTGTATATTATTATTCACTATATTATATGTATATTATTACTGACCTGACAAGCCTAAGGAATTGGACAGATTTGTTTCATTCAGGACCATCATCTTCTATCTGCTGACGACACACAGAGAGGAAGCAGTGATAGAGGGAAAGCCCCCTTGTTAATCCTCAGATTAGGGTCTGTTAACTGTGATACAGAGCTCCAGATTTGCCCAGGGGAAAAGTCATGGACAAAAAGCCAAACTCAAAACTGTTTAGAGGGACAGTCTCTTGCCCATCAATGCCAGAACATGGCAGGGGGGAAAACAATGAAGCAAGCGTGTGTAAAATATACTGAGCTTGCAATAACAAAACAAATTCAGATGCAAAAACTTCTCAATGCTACCTGAAATTTTCTCCTAAAATCTATATTTTTCTCAGGCTCTTATATGTATACATTGAGTAATTCCACTTTTATGGTAATTAAGTTCTTTTAATTCCCTTTAACGTGAAATAAAAGAACATAAATACAGGATTGTGAACTGTATATGCCAAAGCTGAATGGCCTTCTCTGAATGTAAGACGGTACACTCCCTGGATGACTGTGGTCGACAAGGCTCTTCTGGGTCTGGTGCCTTTAAACCCAAGGTCCCTTCTTCATAGGTCAAAAAGCCAGTGTGCCCTACATTTAAGTGAATCTTATCGTTTAGCTGTTCCTCGGTTTCAAACTGAAATGGGGAGGCGAGCCTTTAGCCTCTCATCCTGGTATACTCTTCAGTCCAAACTAAAAACGCCTGAGCTCATCCCAATCAAATCATTTCGCTCTATCCTTTATAACAAACAACAGTTCATTTCTCAATGTATGTGTTTTTAACATATTGTAATGTGGTATAGCTGATGAACTAAACTGTATTTTTATAATATCTTTACTTTTTGTTTATTATTGTATTATTATTATTATTATTATTATTATTATTATTATAATTATTATTTATAAGTCATGTGTTGCGGACCTCCTGGGCAGGTCATCCTTGTAAATGAGATCTTGATCTTAATGGGTTTTTTATCTGGTTAAATAAAGAAACATATAGAGAAAAATGTTCAGTTTAGGAGAGCCTAAAATATGGCACTTAGAAGTTTCTTCAAATATTAATCAACTGATTTCTCACAAATAATAAAAAAAATTGTATATTAACTTACGTTTTTGACCAAGTGAAGTGAAAATATTTACTACTGTAGTTTCAAAAGGCACATTTCCTACAGGAAAGCCCTCTTAGGCAATATAAAAAATGTCAGACTATAATATACCATGAACTGCTCCATAAACAAAAGACCAGTGAAAGATTGTGTAGTGCTTTCATTCATAAAGCACATCCATATAATCTATTAGTCTTCATGACTGGCTATCTTTAAAATCTTTTCTATACATGTCTGGAGATTAACAAAGATCTTCTATATTTGTTCCGTAAGCAAATGAACAACAAAAGCATTTAGTGATTATATCACCAACAGGAATTTCAGCTGAATACTTATTTAACCAGATAAAACAAACCACTTTCAGCTGTGCCTCCACTAAAATTCAAGTGATGTGGGAGACGCGGGACTGGCTGAAAGTGCCATTGCTCAGACATCACCCTCTCAGTCCAGCAGGGAAACCCTGAACTCAAGAGCACTCTGTGAAATCCATCAGCCTAAGTCCTTTTATTGCAAGCCTATAACTGGCTTGCTCATCATAGAATGGAGATTGAGAAACGCAATTGGAAACGTAAATTCATTCATTTAATCGTTGAAATGTAATAAATAATCACATTAGTTAACATAAAATTATTCTACACCAAGCGCAACTCGTATATCTATAATCTATTGCAGTGCATAAGAGTTAATGGTGTGTGAGCGCCCCCATGTGGTCATGCGTATGATTACATTTGAGCATACAAAACTGGAGAAAGAAGAAACAGAAAAGACTTTATTTAGTTTGCTTTTTTTAGATTAAACCATAACACCGGATGAATCACACAGAGGTTCCTTCCTTGGCACATTGACTACCACAATTTGCGGAAGAAACCCACAGTGCCTTCACAGTAACATCTCTAGCTCTGTAAAACAGAATCAGGAAGATTAGTGGCACTGAGACACCATGAGAAAGGCATACAAAGTTACGTAGAAAGTTTGATTATTAAAGCAACCTCTATGAAATGCAACCTCAGAAAATAAAAAGGTATACAAATCTCAGTCAGCTAAAGGAGGAGGAGGGAAACAAAAATCAGTCCTGGATTCCATAAACTATTATTATTTCAGTGAGTTTTTAATCTCAACAACGGTATGCAAAAACTTAAAAAATAGCACATTTCTAGTGTAGCGTATGCTTATATCCAAAAATAAAAAGCAAGTCAGAATCAGTTAATGTATTATTTGTTACAGATAAAAGGGCTCTCAGCCACTTAAGGTCAAGCTTTTCCGAGTCGCCTATTCAGCGTATGAATATGAGCCCAGATCGAGTGAATGCAAACAGCAGATTTCACACTCAAGAACAGGAAGGACACTTGTATAATTGCACAAGCTAAAATGTGTGCACTACTACTATACTACTATTAAATCATGTGACAGCTGCTCAAAATAGCTAAATAAAAACGCTATGTATTCCAAAAAAATCCCAAAGAATATATCGTTATTAAATGTGATTTACAGTACAACACCCTGGCCACATGCAACTTTAGCTAAAGCTATGTATAAGAGAGCATTTGTATAGAAGCAGTTATGCTACAGAGGCACGTCACATCTGTAGAACTATTCACACAAGTACTTTGAAATCTCATTGGGGCAAAAAGCAAGCTGGGAAATCTACGGCGGTGAGATTTATTCATGTAGACAGGCTCTTGAGAGAGAGAGGGAGGAAAAACCAGAAGATTTTTCAAAGTCTCATTCTCTCAGAGGATGCTGCCAAAGTGAAAGAGAACTTATCAAAGCCCAGAATGAGCCCGAACACATTTTGAAACCATCCCAACAGGAAATAGTACATTTATTATTGATATATAACTCTATTAATATATAAATATATCTCTCTCTATGTATATATATATACGTATATATGCATATCTATATGTATATTTGTATTTGTTATATCCACAGCTACACCAGTCGCAAAACCGTGTACACTGTATAGTTTATCTATTTATACTTAAAACAATATACCACACTCACATTTATCATCATATACTGCATCTCAATCGACAGATAAAAAAGGTAAAACAATACAAATAAAGTGTTGGTCTACAAAGTAAACCAATAATTTACAATATGTTCTTTTTCTCTTCTCTATCAAAACATCTCATGCACAGAGAGGTTTCGATATCTGTGGGAAATGGTTTGAAAATAGGCTGGGTCCAGGTGCTTTGTTAGCGTGAAGGCATCTTTAAAAAAAGCATCTCAGACTCCGTTTCCGAAAATAAGCAGACTGAAAAGCTCACATGGAAGACGTACTGTATACTAAAAGCCCTTATGTAGGAGTTATGCATTGTATATATTTAGTAATGCCTTCTCTGGTTGCAAATAAAAAGAGGAAAAGTCTCACGGCCGAACGCACTGAACTGTCTGTATATTAAGGACTGAGGCTACTTCAAAATGGCGTAACGAATCACATTCTTCGATTTCTAGCACATTTACAGAACGCAAACCCCACAGTCTTTCTGGGATAAAGACGACAGGAATCACTGACTACACCTGCTTGGCTTATACTGATCGGCACGGTCCGAAGCAAGTCATATAGTTTTAACGGCATCCATTATGTTTGCCCAAAGCAGCACAATATCAACAGAACACCCAAAAACACAGGAGAACATCAAAATGCTAACGAACATCTGCCTTTCCACGTCACGATAAAGCACACGAGATTACCTGTCCTACTTAACACTACCTTTAGGCTATCTTTTATTCGCGAATCACCACGTCGACTGATGAGACATTTGAGGTCCAAAGAAATAAACTGGGCGATTTTTGACACCAGCGTGATTTAGTCATTTTCTTCGACAGCGATTTTACAATGAAACTGCCTTCGATTCTCAGGCTCAGGGTGCAAACCTGGTCTGTTGCTAACTTGAATGTATCTTCCACAGATCCAACATGCAAACTAATACACCAAAGAACACCAAAAATGGAAACGAAGGCCCAAAAACATCACGCGCACGCACACAAACAAACTCCTCAAGCAGGTAATCAACAGCCAATTTCTGCGCTTTGGACTTTGGGAATTCAAGCAATGTCCACCACTACAGAGAACCAATGGAAACGAGAAACATTCGAGGCACACTATGCTTAAAAAGGGAATGTCAGAAGACTGTCGATTGCGTATGAAGCAAGTTAACTACGCAGTCGCGAAATGAATGCATTGACATCATTCATTAGGGTGACTCTGTGTCTGTCTACGCACGAAACATTCACTTACAAGTAGCTCAAACACTAAAGAAAGGAAAAAAATATCCAAATAGTGAGCGCGACACAAGCAGAGCGTGTAGAAATGAAATGATGTCTTTCTTATGGAGCAAGTCTTCTCAATCTGTATAAAAGGCAAGGTGCCACATCTATGGCACAGGCAAGTAGATACGTTACAATCACAGCTGACAGCTATCCCACTACGAGAGAGGGAGAGGTTCCCAAAGGGTAACTATTTTACAGTGGAACTGCACAAACTCTGGGAACGATTTTGGTACATAATGCAGAGTGGCATCACCCCCGGCGCAATATTGCACCGGGTACCATAGTCTCTTTGGGCTCGCGCAAGCACGGCAAAGAGCTCAGGCTGAGGGAACAGGCCTCAGGAAAACAACAACAAAAAAAGTACTGCACAGGAACCACTACAGGCTGGAGAGAGAAGAGCATGGTGGAGCAGCAACATCTGACACCTTAAAGGCCTGTGAGGTCAACGATGGCCTTGATGAAGATGGTGTCATCCCGGATGTAGGAGTTCTTGGAGTCTAGTTTGGAGAGCGGGCAGAAGAGGGGGCAGCCGCTCGCAATGTTCATGTCACTCACAGGCCTCTGGAAGGAGGAAGAGGAAATGTCTGGCCGGAAGGCATCAATGATGTGCTCCCTGTTGTTCTGATCCAGCAACATGAGGGTGACCTGAGGAATCAAGGTGTTGGATGAAATTTTGAAATTACATCCGAGATCTGCGTTCGAGCTGGTATGAATAGATGACAAAACTGAAGCAAGTCATTGAGCATTCAGGGGAAGGTAAACTAAGGATGACACAAAAATACAGAGGGAATGGAAATTGCAACATTCATGCTGCAAGTATCCGCAACAAAGAATACAAGCCTTGATAAAGCTAAAAACATGTAAATGTGTCATTAGAAATGTACTTATGGTTGCGAAATATATCTAGCTCATGGTTTCCTCTACATTTTTTCTTCCACGGCGGGGGGCCACACCAAGATTCATCCTGCCACTGCTATATTACAGCTTCTCATTCAAAACATTCAGTTGATATTTTTTTGGGGGTTTTTTTTATAGCGGGTTATAATCACACCAAAACACATTAAAAGGTAAGCGAGTTATAACAGCGCCAACTTTTCTGTTGCTGTAGTAGTTCTCTGCGCTATTTGTTTAACCCTTTAAGGTGACAAGCTGACTGACTGACAGGTCCATCATGCGTGCGCTTGCAAACACAACGTAGCTTTCAGCTAAGATGAACACAGTTTCCATAATGATATTTTCTAGAGGTCTATGGCTCTGCATACAATGACTTTATCTTGCTGGAGTTTATAGAGGTTTCACTTAACTTCAGGTAGCATTAATGCCGCTCAGTAGGTCTATTGGAGGCATTCATTAATATTCCTAGAAAATCTAATAAATGTTAGAGACACATTACATAAACACACTAAATCACACTTAATCAGGGTCTATTTAAGTGCGCATAAGTAAAATCTGCACTTGAGCAGCGTATATTTAAGGGCGTGCAGGAAGTTTTGTGCACGAACAGAGGAAAACGGAGCTCGAGCACAGAGATTCACATGCTCGTATTACATAAATGCGATCTCGACTTGTAAATACTACGCTCAAAACACTTGTCATTGAAATAATGCCATAGGTAGTTGGTAGGTCTGTGTAAAAGGCCCAACAGGGTCTGCCACCACAGCTGGAAAAAATCCTAGAGGAAACATTGTAGCTGAAATTTAAGAAGCGTTCGGGGCTCAGAACACCTCATTCAAACGGGGAGTCAGCGTCAATGCTTCCCATTCACTTTGAATAGGTGACATCAACCACTGCCAAACTGGATTGTGGATCCATTGGTGCAGCTTCAGTGGCGTTGCTCACTGCAAAACTTGGGAATTTCTCAACTTTTCAAGCGCCAATGTACGCATCAGCCAATCAGATCGTTGTATGCAAATACACCAGCTCAGACAGTAGCCAATTGCGGACTAATTTTATTAGCTGACACTGCTATGATGATCACGTCAGCTTCAACTTCAGAGACGCCCTCGGTCAAGCATTGAGACTGAAGCGTGAATGCACTGTAAGATTTCTTTTGTAAAACATTGATGTACTTATTAAGTACACATTAAATTTAAAAGCTGTGCTAACCACTGACGAATCGTGAACAACTTTTGAGCACCAAATCAATATTTAAGCCTTCTACAGACCAAATCAAATCCAATTTTAGCACCATGTATGTACTGTAGACTATTTCATAATCACATCTATTCATTCAAAGGCTGTGACGCAAGTTGGTATAGAAGAAAAAAAAAACATCATCAGGATGTTAGATCATCATCAGGATGTTGTATAAATGAACATCATCAGGATGTTATATCATCATCAGGATGTTGAATAAATAAACATAATCAGGATGTTGTTTAAAATTATCAATTGATCCTTCTTCAAGAGTTTGACTGACAGCCAATCTGACCAATTATAATCCTGATATTATGTGCTTCTCTTTGCTTTCCAACAAACATGATTTGGACTTTAAAAAACTGTGAAAAAGGACTTGGTTGCTTGTATGGAACTTGCAACGTTTCATGTCTAATGTTTACACAAATAAGAGCAGACCCTTTTCAGTTTTAATTGATGTCTTTACCACATGGAGAATCACCTGTTGTTATCATGCAGGTGATGCAGAGGTTTAGATTTACTCTTTGATCAAAGTCTTAATTTTGACATTCATAAAATCACCCTGACTGTTTCAAAGTCATTTTTGTTTGGGAAAAACTAAATTTTAAAGACCCCAGACTTTAGAATGGTGGTATTTTTTGCAATGTGATCATTTTAACATCTTAAATCCTGTCAGAAACACAATCTCATTTATTGATCTGACTGACCTTCTGATTGAAAGGCCACTTGAGCAAGGCATCACTGTGTCCCCTCATCACCACGAAGAACAGAGACAAATGAGTGCCACGTCCTGTCCCATCTCCATTCAGGTAGATGCGCAAACACATCTTATAGCCGTATTTGCTTGTGTAAAATGCTGCAAAAGACAACAGGCCAAGTTAATTGAGCTTAATGGAAAATACAGGAAAAATGACCTAATACAACTGTACTTAAAGCAGTAGTAACAATACATTAACTTACACACACACACACATATATATATATATATAATTTTTTTAGTTTTTTTTACACACTCACATTAGTATTAGTGTAATGCAATCATTAATCAGAATGTAAAATGTACTTTGAGGAAAAAAATGCCTGCCATAGAGTTTAAAAATTCTATATTTGCAATTGTAAATTGTGAACTGTAATTTTTTTTTTATTTCAATTAATCAGACAAGCTTTTTGATTACTAAAATTTAAAATTAAATAAAATGGAATTTGGTCAAAAATAAATTGGATTTTAGAGGGCTTTACTCACAATATTCCTAAATATTACAAAAACATATAGAAGAATAACAAGTAAAAGTACCAGGTGAGAACATAGCAGGTGCTCGTCCAGCTACAGCATCCTGTCTCTTCTTCGAGAAGTCTGAGATCTTCCATACAAACACACCATCATAGGTGGCAGCAGACATCTCCCTCATCTTAGCCTCCATCTCCACGATGGAGAGATCCCTAAGGCCTACCGTCCTCTCCAACTGCCGTACCTGTACAAACATCCAGTACTGAATCAAACATTTCTGGGGGAAAAACAAGAATTATCTGCTTCACACCAAAAAAAAAAAAAAAAAAAAAAAAAAAAACACTGCTTGAGATTCATCAAGTTAAATTTAAAACTTTTGAAGATCTTTTAAAGACCATTATGGATAAAATTTCAGACGTTTTAATGCCCTGGTTACTTTCTATATATAAAAATAATTTTATCATAGTCCCATATGTTAAATAATGCGCCAAAACAATTAAAGTCTAGTTACATACATGTACTTTTTTCAACATAATGTCTTTTTTTTTTTTATTATTAAAATTTACAAGCTTTTTAAGGCCTACAATTTTGTTTTTTAAATTTAGGACATTTTAAGAGTTTAAGACCCCAAGGACATCCTGCATTACCTTGTTGTTGAGTATCTCAATCTTGTCCTGGTCAAGCCGATGTTGACGATTATACGCCTCCATGGTAGTAGCGGAGCGCTCCATCTCACGGTTAAGCACGCAGACGATGTTCTCAAAGGTATTAACTTTCAGCTCCAGCTCCTGACAGCGACGGCTGAGCTCCACCACTTTGGTTTTCTCACTGTGCAGCTGCAACTCCAAAGCTGCACCGACGGCAGTAGGTAAAGGGGTGAAAGACGTACCCAGCGTCGGAGCTGGCGGTGGTGGCGGCGGCAGTGCACAGGCCCCCTGCACGGAAGCCCCTGCTCCACACAGCTGGCCCATCTTGAGCTCCAGCTCCCGCAGAGACTGATGCAGCTCGTGGATCTTATGGCTGGCCAGCTCCAGACTCTGAGGCTGCAGACTCTCCAAGTTCACCTTGATGCCCATGATGAAGTGCAGGAGGAGGTTTAAGTGCTCGTAGGAACAGGCTTGTTCGTGATCGTGGATCTTCTCCTTCTCCACCTATAGGATAAGCAGTTTATATTTATGTTTACTGCCATATCAGATTCATTGGCTTTACATTTTAGACATATTTAACATCACAAACAGAATGCACAAACAATTATTTTTGTAAATAGAACAAATACAAAACACTTAAAAAAGAAAAATAACTTTATAAAAACTTTTTGAATGCTTCATCCATAAATAAATCTTTAGTATTTAAGGTTTGTCCAGATAAAAACCTCTCACATACCAATATAATTCAGGCATTCCAAAAAAATATGGCTGTGCAATATTCTGATATAAAGTAGTCAAAATTTTAAGTAATCAAAAAGTTTAAAATTGTCCCAAGAGGTCGGGTGTGTTCAATAGTTTTAGGGTTTTTGATCCACTTAAAATGTTGACTATGTTTATGATATTGTCAAAATAAAAAACCTATAATTTCATATTATGCTTTACCATTTATTTAATGGCATCACAAAATACATTAGTTACAGTAATACTTTTTCTTTATTTAAATAAGCAAAATTTTACACACCATTACGATGTTTGCGATGCAAACTGAACAATAACAGCATTGTAATAAGGTTGCAATCTTGTATTTAATCTCCGCATTTTATTTAAAAATATTTTATTTCTATGTTGAACCTGTAATCATTTTTTTAAAAGGGTTTTTATATTTTATTAATTTTTATTTTAAATTTCTACACTAAATGAAAAATTTGTATTGAAGTTATAGAGTAAGCAATATATTCAAATATATATTACATGTCGTCTAAAGACCTTTTTCTTGGAACGCAAAATTACCCATTATGCTTTGCGTGTATGCGCAAGGAGCATGCGAAGAACTTCCAGTCGGCAGCTAATGCGTGTAAACAGTCACATATGGACAGCTTTGAAACAATAGTTTTAATCTATTTTTCCTGCTTTTATCCTCTTTGAACTAATACTGTTGTCCATCAGCACCATGTCCTGGACTGATCATTAAAAGAAATGCGATCTAATAGGATGGAAAACAGCTGCTGTGAGACATTTTTCACTCGTTGTCAGACGGCATCCTCTGCAGTTTAAATGAAGCCTTGTCATCGCTAAAGTCAACATTTTCTCTTTATTTCAAATATATAACCAGCCCAAACAAATGTAATTCAGCAAAATGTTTGACATACACACGTAGCCTGTACTGTGCCACTGACACACTGATTTAATAACAGTGACAAAGTGAAAATATAGGCTAGTGTCATTTCGATATGACAGAAAAACACAAACCCGTGGTAAAAACAACACACGAAATAAAACACAAACGGCTCGCGATTAGAATGAACAGCAAATCAGCCAACAGAGTATCAATAACAGACTTTTATTGGTCATTTTTGTAAATTGCACGACTTTCATACCTGTTAAGTTTCATGCCAGTACTCTGGTTTGCTCTCTCTCTGTGTGTGTGTGTGTGTGTGTGTGTGTGTGTGTGTGTGTGTGTGTGTGTGTGTGCGCGTGTATTTCTGACGGCAGACACGTGAATTAGGAGAACGTTTTTCTCATATTTCTGACGCGCTTGAACCACATGTGACAGATTATAACGGCTTTAACAGACACATTTCTAAGTTGTGTGTCACAAAAACACTCTGTTATCCATTAAAAACGTTATTTGAAACCCATTTTCGGAGCGCAAATTACCAGTTGTACACGCTGTAAACGGAAGTTTTTAGCATTCTACCGGAAGACGCTGGTCGCTATGGCGCACTCCATGCAGCAGCCATGAAAAAGGTCTATAAATAAATTATTAACTGACTGAATTCACAGAATTGTTATATAAATCGCTATTAAGACATTAGTACCTTCTACCGTAATATGAGATTTGTCATATCGCCCAGCTCTACCAAAAAAGTTGCATTACTGAAATTCTGGTGTTTCATCACTATTCAGCAGTATTTCTAATAAGGCCTTTTCAACACATTGTAATATACAACTTGCTTGTATCTTAATTCAAAATAGTACATACAACTTATCAAATAATATGTCAACATATCAGGTAACTTGACATTTCACCAATTCTGATTCCAATTTCTTTAATATACTGGATGATAATGGGACTTATGTTTAAACGTGGGCTTTGGCATTCACAGATTCATTCTGTTAGAACTCCTTTTGCAGACACGTCTGCTTGTTCAGTATGATTGTGGGTAAGTCTCCATTGCTGATTTGTTTCAATTAACATATCACTTATCACATTCCATTTACAAGAACTTGGAAAGCTTGATGCTGAAAGCAGCTGTTGAATAAACTGAATGTGAACTATATATTGAAAGAGTTTGCCTACCGTCATATCACAGCCGACAACATGAAATCTGCAGGGTGTTCTGAATTTGGTGCACAGTTTAATGTGGTCCACATACTGTAGAAAGAAATATTTATGAAAATGACTGAAAAACATTTGTTTAAGTTGACTTTGTGACATAACATTGATACATGTAAATGGCCTAAATAGCATTTACTTACTTTCTCTCTGGGAATTTTTTTCTTGGCACAGCCTTCACAAATCATTGGGTATTTAGGGCAGATCTCATCATGGGCCTAAAAAACAGTGGCAGTTTATTCTGATGTTTCCCTTTAGACATTCTGTTGACAATAAGTAAAGCTTCAACTACATGAAAACTAGGGGGGGTTGTGGTTGAGAGAGCCAGAGATATACACATATAACTATGAACGAGAGTTATCCTGGATGTTAATAAGTAATTTTTTTTTTAATTATGAAAATTTTAGTTTTACATCACTTTTCTACATTGATGGATCAGTGACCACATGGGCATTCCTGACAAAAAGCTTGTGTTTGTGTGTACAGAAATGTACTATTCACCCTCCCTGTTAAACTTGATCTAATACGTGCACACACCTCTCCTGCTTTCACTTCTCATAATGACAGAGGGAGCGATTTGTTTGTGAATGAATCTCCGTTATGAACGACTCTTTCACTCGCCAACAATAATACAAGTTTCGGGCAGCGCAGCATCTCGTTGTCATATTTATTTTGCATTGTTTGCTGATTTTATTCAACAAAACTAGCATAAGCCGAGTATTTAGTGCGAGTTGGAGCTGCTTTGCCTTATGATGAATGCAGTAAGTGACTGTATTATCATCAATAACGCGAACTAGACTATCTGTTTAGCACAAATTTCAGAACATTCAAAAACATAAAAAACGTAATCTTACCTATGAAATGTTCTGCCTTTGTGCTTTGTTTTCTTTGTTTGCTCGTTACTACACTCGTAGACAGCGCTAAAGTCCCACATCTTCACGTAATAACACTGTTTTGACTAGTGCGGTTGAATGACATTTGTCCTGGGAGCACTGTGCCAATGTGGCGGCGCTATAGACGCATGCTCAGGGTCCCTATGCGATATCTAGTGTATATATCTATGTCACAAATTGAGGAGCGGGGAAATGAGGCGGGGTGGAGCGACAACGCGGGGAATCCTTCACAAACTGAGGAGCGATCACAAACTGAAAGCGGCGAGAGCGTCAAAGTAGCCAGAAGTCATTCATTTTTTAACGAGAACCGGCGGCGAGAAACAGCACCGCGTCTTCATCGGGGACATGGGGCCCCCTAATCACACGGGGCCCCCCCCGCGGTGCGTGCCCTGCGGGCCCGTCCGCTACGCCACTGAATTTACTGCATCAGTTTACAGATACGATGAGTATATATCATGTCACTGGGCATCCATACAGCATGAAATAACCCAACAAATCTAAAAGAGTTTGATTTTGTGAATTAGGCCAAATGTTTTAGTGGTATACTTTTCAAACTTCATATAATGTCTTACCTTAATGTTTTTAAAATGAAAAGGCTCCTTGCAGTATTTACAATTTAGGGTCCGCTCTGGGCATTCTCTCTCATTGTGACGTTCAAGTTCATTGGCTCTTAAAAGCTCTTTGCATGATGGGCAGGGCAGGATCCTGAAGTCACATTTACCCTCATGGTTTGCCTATAAGAGATTAGGGAAAAAAAGCCATTAAGATGGTGTCCATGCAAATTGTCAAACAACGCTGTTAAAAACTAGTTTTGCTGCTAAGGTTTGCTAGTTTTAGTTGATCTCCCAGTCATGTAAATTAGATTTCTTAGGGACTAAACACACCAAAAACTCAAGGAGCCACTCTGCCTTTTTTGTTGACAAGAAAAAAAGAAGCGTGGTGCGCTTTATGATGCTAGGCAATGACTAAATCAGCTGTGTATTGTGTGAGTGTGTTGCTGTTGATATTAATGTAATTTAATATTTAATAATATTATGATGATATTCAAGATTTGTAAAGTCACACAGCTCCAGATAACTCAAAACAGCAACCACAAGTCTCTCCTCCATCTTCAAAAGTCTCAGTTGTTGTCTTGACAACACAAACACTGCAGGCGCCTCAACAGAAACCCCGCCTCTGCTTTCATTTGATTGGAGAAGGAAAAAGACACAACTGATGTAACACGCTTTTTACGATAAGAGTTGACTTGCAAGCGCACTGCAAGCAAAAGCAAAATCGCAAGGCAGAGCAGACGGTTAAACGAGAGGCACGCAAAATGCTCACAGGAATTAGTAAATTACTCAAAAAAGGCGCCTCCCAACTCAAAAATCGCGTTTGGTGTGATCGGACCCTTAAAGAGTTTTCAAGAGTTAGCATAAAGTGCAAGATACATTTACATCATTAAAACTGGATGTACTTACTGTACATGCACATAAAGGTTTTGGAAGCAACACATACAATGCACACAGCTCACAACTATGCTTTAAAATGTTTCTGCGCAGAACTGGTTGTTTCACAGTCAAAAGAGAAACAGGGAGACAGTACAACAATAACGGCACATCACTGAAAATGGCAAGAACAATAGACCCCTTTCACAGACTGAGATGACACATTCTCGCATTAACTGTCAAAAATATATTTTTTAAATATATTTTATTAAATCTCTAAAAAATATATATAAATACACACACAACACTTGTGTTTTGTTACATTGTCATTAATTCACAAGTAAAATAAAATAAAACAGTCAATGCTACTTCAAGAAAAGTTCCTAATACACCAGATGAAGTGAAAGAAAATCTTTCTTATGCGTATTCAACATATTTTTTTGTATTTATTTATTTTATTATTAACTCACAAAAACATGATTTTTTACTCTTGCTATTAGGGCAAATGACAGAGCAAAACATCATATTTAGTTAATTTATGTTCATCTCAATGAATGCTTTCCCCTATCTTTGTTGTGTGTGTGTGGGGTTGATGAACAATGTACAAAATTTAATTTCTAAATGACAAAAAAAAAAAAAATAATTCTCTTAATATTTTCAAGTCACAGACACCGAACAATAATGAATTTTTATAGTGTTCATGTGTCGAGTGAGGGCAGCTCTGTGGTTAGCACTGTCGCCTCACAGCAAGAAGGTCGCTGGTTTGAGTCCCGGCTGCACCAGTTGGCATTTCTGTGTTAAGTTTGCTTGTTCTCGCTGTGTTCACGTGGGTTTCCTCCGGTTGCTCCGGTTTCCCCCTCAGTCCAAAGATATGCACTATAGGTGAATTGAATAATCTAAATCGGTCGTAGTGTATGTGTGTAAATGCGAGAGTGTATTGGTGTTTCCGAGTACTGGGTTGCAGCTGGAAGGGTATCCACTGAGTAAAACACATGCTGGGTAAGTTGGGGGTTAATTCCGCTGTGTAACCCCGGATGAATAAAGGGACTACGCTAAAGGAAAATGAAAGAATGTGTCGAGTGCCTGTATTTGCACATACTTTCAAAATGAAGCATACTTTAATGAAGACTGGGTGTATTCAACTGTGCACATACTGTATGCCAAGTATACATTTGGCTTCAGTGGGGAATTTTCAGCTGCTCAGCCTGGAATATCAGTCTGCCAGACCGCTAGACAGCAAAGTAGCAAGCACTTTTTTTTAAAAAGCAGGGAAGGGACATGCAGTACCTCGTATTCTTTGATGGTGCCTGTCCAGCTGCACTCCTCATTGATACAAACAGCTTCAAGAGCTTCAACTTCTCTCTTAGCAGCATTATCAGGAAAAGCCTAAAAGAAATTACACAGAGTTGAAATAAGATCCCACTTTCAGTAATGCAGGTTATGATGCCTGCTTTCATTGCTTTAGAGCTTTTAAGTTAGAATGTGATTGCCTATAAATGTTTTATTATCATTACCCATTCAAGAAAAATAAAATTGAAAGTGATTTCAATTATATTATACCTCTGTTTTTTTTTTTTTTTCATAATTACAACAGTGGTACAGACCTTTTTATCTTTATTTAATAAAAAAGCAAGACTTGAAAATACATATTAATAGTAGTTATGCTTGGTGTAAAGAAGCTTTAAATGTAAAAAAAAAACATACTTTTTTTCATAACGTGCTTCCTAGAATTCAGATAAGTACATTTTTAAAAAGACAAAGATTAATGTAATATAAAACAGATGAATTGTATTATTGATCTCTTCATGATTTTATTGTATGGGAAAAAAATAAAGTCATCCTTTTCCATACAGTGAAAAAAAAAAAGATCCAAAAAAAAATAAATAAATAAAAAATCTGCTTAATTCTTTAGACCCTTTTCACATTTCAAGGTTTCTCAGTAGCAGAAGGCATCATAGCTAGGTAAACTCAATATTGTTTCACATGTTTAAGATTTCACAATTTTCAAACTATTTTGATGTCAATGACTATATCAATCTGGAATAAAGTCTTTGTTTTTACTTTTTTAAAGAGACTGCAATGCTCCTATGTGTTATCACTATAGCTGTAGAACAGAACACTTTATTCTATTTAATCAGAATGATTATTAAAACTTCAATAGTTATCAAAAGCAAGAGAATTCATTATTGATCTATTAAGCTGCATTATCTAATCAATCCATATAGCTACAAAATCAGAGTTATTAAAAAGAAATTAACTGTTTTAATGGTTAAAAATATTAAGACCTTTTATGCATTTAATGAAAATCATTTTACCCATACAATGAAGGGTAAGTCCGTTAAAGCTTATAATCACATTTAAAATTTCTTATAGTGCTTCAAGTAAAACAAAAATAAAACTTGTCTTTATACTTCTCAAAAATAACCAAAGAAGCCACAACTTCTGCAAACATTGTTGCAATAGTTACTGTGTAGAAGTAAAGAAAAGAAGTTTGTTTGTATTTTTGGTAAAACATTTTTTTTTTTTCGAATTGTTAAGGAACTTTATATTAGCCGCCACCGTCAATATTAAAAAAAGATATAAGAGTAATAATAACAATATTATTGATAATGAAAACAATAAAACTACTCATTTGTAACAGGAAGATTTTTTTAAAAAACTATAATGAAATATTTATTGATATTCAATTATAATTGCATCTGCATTTCAATGCATTTGCTTTCAATAATAAGCAGCACTATAATTAAAATCTGACTGTGTAATATAACAAATACTTACACAGCCCTGTTTCAAAATTGATGTTGGCTCTTCAAATATGTCCTCTTTTATGCAGGCACTGCATTTCTGTGGTCCGGAGCTGCGAGAGAAAAGAAGAGCTTTCATTATAGACAAGCACAAAAAGCCAAACTCGCTAATAAATACAAAAGACACATACAATAAGAGAAGTGTTCATCCTGACAACAGTCTGGCTATTGTAGTTTACAGCTAAACAAGAAGCCGAACACAACCTGACAGCCTGCATTTATTTATGTTCCCCGACATAAAACATAGTTTTACTGCTCGTATAACCCATAAAACATGTTGTAAAATGGCACGGGAGGCCTGACAGGTCGTGTTCATCTTTTGTAGTTGTCGTGTCAGGTGGGCCATCAGGACTGAATGCCGCTTACCTCACTGCTTTATTAAAACAATACGAACAGAAACGATGTCCGCACTGCGCCTGAAACGGTCTCCTAAGGATTTTCAGGCAGATATTGCACAGATGCTTGTCCTCCAGCTTGTTGGCGAGTATTTTCTTGGGAAAGCCAGGTTTGTTGCCTTCTAATGAAGATGGTGGTGAGGGTTCCTGTGCAGCCATTATTCCCGAGCGCGCATGTGACCAGGCTCCGGAGAAGAGACGCGGATCTTTCTACACATTTCACTACAAGGGGTTGCAAACACATGCTCTTAAATTGTGTTACATACTATGACCAGCGTAATATATGTAGTTAGACGAGTCTAAATAAACATAAGGTGAACTGTTTACACAGGCGTGACAGACAGACGTGACACAGGACACAATGCAAGACCGTCTTAATAAAAGTCTCACTGTAACTGCGTGGTACGTTTGCTGTTGTTGGGGGTCTCTTATTAATTGCAATACTTATAAATATTATAACGTTTTAAAACACCACATGTCCTACCATATTATTGTCCAACGAAAATTATAAAACCTCCTGCAGTGCTGTGAAACATTATATCAAATACATTCAGCGTTCTCGTCGTGTGCAGTCATAAGTATGACCATAATTTATTATTATTGTCAATATTATTTATAGTTTAGCTCCGAAATGTGAGTAACGTAACGACAGGCGTCGTGTTTTTGCCAGCTTTTCATGGATTGTAGCGTCCATCCACTAGAGGGGGCTGTTGCTGCTGATAATCATGACGACAACATAACTGCTTTGTGAAGCAAGACACTTCAACATGTTAAAACACAAAATAAAAGTCTCCTGGCTGTGTTAAAGATTTGAGTCCAAAACACAAGGGGTTTTCCAACCACAAAAAGTGTAATGCAACTTTATTTTTACATACAATAGGAGGTGGCCTGTTTAACTTAAGCAACTGATTTGATATGACCTATATTTTGACATTTTATTTGGAACAGTTTTAACACTTTTAATATTTATGATTTAATATGCATTATAATACGTTTATAACACTAAGCAAATATTATAATGACGCTTTCCCTGTTTCTTTCATTTCTCTGTGTGGAAAAAAATTAAACATAAGTAATTTGTTATTAAAACTGCATTCATTAATTTTACTTCAGCTTAGTCCCTTTATTCATCAGGGGTCACCATAGCGGAATGAACCGTCAACTTATCCAGCATATGTTTTACACAGCGGATACCCTTCCAGCTGCAACTCAGCACTGGGAAACATCCAAACACATTCATGCACATACTACCACCAATTTAGTTTATTCAATTTACCTGTAGCCCAAGTCTTTGGACTTTGGGGGAATCTGGAGCATCTGGAGAAAACCCACACGAACACGGGAAGAACATACAAACTCTACACAGAAATACCAACTGCCCCTGCCGGGACTCAAACCAGCAACCTTCTTGCAGTGAGGCAACAGTGCTAACCACTGAGCCACCGTACCGTATTGCCCTTAAAACAGTATTTTGTATTTAAAATGCTTAAAATAAGCATTTTTATCCTCCTGTGATACAAGTATCAAAAGCCATATCAGGACTGCTAAATATTCATATTAAATATTATTATAAATTATGTCACATTTTATTAGCTGCAGTATGCTCTTTTCTTATATTTATTTTTTATTTTAAAAAAGCCACTTTGATGCACAAACTAATCTAAATTTAAAGCACACATTGTGACACAAGGCTGCTTATAGTTTTTGAAAAATTAGTCATAAAGAAATATGCACAACTGGGAAAATAAAGCATGAGGTGCATTAAATATATCAATTCACAGGACACAATGTATCCATCTTAAAGGAATAGTTCACCCAAAAATAAAAGATTTGTCATAGCTTCTTTTTCCATAATATCTTTTTCTATGTTCAACAAAAAATCCATTCAGTTCACTCCGAGTAGAATTTATATATATATATATATATATATATATATATATATATATATATATATATATATATATATATATATATATATATATATATATATATATATATATATATATATATATATATATATATATATAATTTTTTTTTTTTTCTGTTTTTGTGTTCCTTATTAAACAAAACATTCCGACAATGGTTTTCCAGAAAAAAAAAAAAAAAAAAAAACAGTTAAGAATGTACTTTATTACAAAGTATTGCCGGATACTAGAGTGCCCTGATTTATTATTGGTGCAACTAAAAAAAAAATCTATTCAAAGGGTAAAATTGAATGAATTTTCGATTAGTGTTGTAAATGAAATATTTATAATATGAACTTGCTTTTGGGGAAACCACTGATATCCATATTTTTCTCATACCATGAATGTCAATGGCTATAGCAGTTTGGACTCACTTTTTGGTTAAGGTTGTATTAGTTAACTATAGTATTTACTAACACAAACAATGAACAGTACATTTATTACAGTATATATTCATTTTTGTTAACATTAGTTAATGGAAATAAAGTTGTTTATTGTTAGATCATGGTAACTCACATTGCATTAACTAATGCTAACAAGCATACATTTGGATTTTAATAATGCATTAGTAAAGGTTAAACTATTTTAATTGAACAAACAAAAACAGTACGGTGCTGTATTGCTCTTATTCAAATGGTTGCTTGCAAATTTGGCATTTTTTAATAAAAATCACGAATTGTACTTTAAATAAATGCATTATATAAACATATTTTTGTAATCTATAATTCTTTTTAATTGGACACATCTAGAAATGAAAAATAATTCGACAAATACACATGCATCATATTTTGCCACACCACAGAGCCACTTAACCTTATTGTTGATTCATGATTATTTGCGATGTTTTGTCGGAGCATCTTCCCCTTTTATTTTGAAAATATCCATAACAATATCTCCGTCACCATCTGTCAGTGTTGCTGTTTTCGCGGAGACCGCCTATTGCTGATAGTGTACATTACTGTGTCATGAAACGAAAGCTGAACAGCGGTACTCTACACAGATCTACCTCTGGTCGCTATTAGTATATTACTATTTTCTGTGTAGATATACAGTGTCTAATGACTCGAGTCATATGACCAAGCGCTACTGGAGCGTTACAGCTCACCAGCAATGGACACTTTTCGCTATGGCAGCCCGGAAATTTAGATTAAACCACGTAGACTTTAAAGCTGCTATTGTGCCTAATATGTGGACAGAATACAGTTGACTGGTTTGATATCCATAAATATTTCCGAGAACAAGGACGAACTGTACTAGCGAAGAGTTTACTTCTGCAGCTTCAGGTGGTTGCTAACAAGCTTCAGCCATAAAAAAGGTAAGAGTGTAGGCTAACGTTAGTATGTCTAATCCTAACGTGTCTGTTGGAAATATAACTATACACAATAACTGTATACAGTCTCAGTGTTTACGTTAGTTTTTAAATAACTACAATACCATTGGCATCAGTCTGTTCAGTTTATACGGACAGAGTGGACTTTAAAAGTCACCTAGTAGAGAAATAATGTTTGCTTAACTTCGGTGATTTTCCCCTGTTTAAATATTAATATTTAACATAACAAATGCACGAAACTGTTTCATGAGATAAGAACTCGATTAATTATTGCTTTCTTCTCACAGACAATGGCCGAAGAAAACACACAATTTTGCAGTAATTGGTAAGAATGGATTAATTCACTAAATAAAATAAAGTCATAATGTACTCACCCAAATCCTTTTTCGGTTTAGCACAAAGGGGGATGTTTGGCTGAGGGACTCCTTGGTGTTCATTTCACTTTCATTTTCATTCTTAGCCTATAACGTCATTACAAATGAAAGTGGTGTCACTGACTTCGTCATTCTCCAGCTATAGCAATTGTAATATATAACGTTAATAATGTTATAATGCATTATCTTGCATCAGATAATTATTTTCATACAGGTTTTGTAACTTTAAACTCAATAAGTAATTTAGTTTTTAGGTGAACTAGCCCATAAATAATGATGTTTTGTAGTTTCGGTTTCACATCTAATGCTACTTTCGGTTATGCTTTCTGGGACAATTCCTTCAGAGTTATCACTAAGTCAAGGTCTTAATAGCAATGGGAGTGTTTAAGGATCACTACCTTATGCTCTCTGTCTGTAGCAAGCATAACATTCCAGAAGCCAACTTTACAACACATGAGATTCACTGTCGGAGGAACATTGCTCTGTGTGAAGTGTGCCAGGAGCCTTTTCCTCATGCTGAGCTTGTGCAGCACAAAGAGATGGACCATGCAGAGGTAAAGTCAAGCCATGATGTAGGATTAATTGATTTGATATGTCTTAATATCCCCAAGAAGAGTGTTGCAAAATTTAGTTCTAACCCCAGTTAGACACACCTGAACCATCTAATCAAGCTCTTTTTCGGTATACTAGAAACTTCAAGCAGGTGTGTCGAAGGAAGTGAACTATGCAGGACACCAGCCCTCTAGGACCGAGTTTGGGCATCCCCGGTTTAGTGTTATTTATTTTATAAATAAATAAAATTATATATTAAAAGTTTACTTACCCTTTATCCAAAAATAGATATTCATTTAAGAGGACACAACATTTGTTTTATATTTTTATGCTTGAAAAGATAAAATATTTTAGAGACTTGAAAATATTTTCATCATGTGCCATTGTAATTTTTAATCTAAATTTCTTATTAAAAGCTTTAATCTCTATGGTGAGCCTATGATAAGTGTTTATATTCAAAGTATTTTAGTTATTTTGGGTTGATCTCTGCAGAGTAGTCCAGTACCTGGGCGATTCATCATATCCAATAACAGAGAAAAGTAGCTCCCAAAATAATAATATTCTTAATAAATATATTCTTCAAAATAAGCATGGATTTTTTAATGCATGTATTTAATTGCTAGAGTGCTAATGGTTGTCTATTATAGCTTTAAACTCCGCCTTGCAATGACTGATGATTCTCTGATGAATGCTGCAGCTATACAAGGGTGGCACAATATTCCCTCCCTGAACAATGATCCGATCAATTCCTTACAAAAACAAGAATTGCCCTACATTTTAGTTCTTAAGCGATTTTAGTAGAATATACTTTACAATAGTGAAGGAGGGTGATGCGGTGGCTCAGTGGTTATAGCACTTCAGTCACCTCACAGCAAGAAGGTTGCTGGTGTGAGTCCCGGCTGGATTAGTTGGCATTTTTGTGTGAAGTTTGCATGTTCTCCCCATGTTTGCCATGGTTTACTCAGGATGCTCCGGTTTCCCCCACAGACCAAAGACATGCGGTACAGGTGAATCAAATCAACTAAATTGGCCACAGTGTACGAGTTTGAAGGTGGTAGGGCAGCTGCTGCATAAAAAATATGCTTAATAAGTTAGCAGTTTATTTCACTGCGGCGACATCTGATGAATTAAGTGACTAAGCCAAAGGAAAATGAATTAATGTTTAGTGAAGAAAAGATTATTTCTATTCTTATTTTATGCCATTAAAATCAGTACAAATAAAAATTTAAAAGAAATTTACTTTTGCTCACAAGTCTGCATTATTGGATCAACAAAATGAAAACAGTAATATTATGCAATATTATTTAAAATAACATTTACAGTAAAAAATAAAGAAATTTATTAATGTGATATATATTTTAAATTCATATCAGTGCCGTTATTTTGAACTTTCTATTCTTCCAAAATCTTGAAAAGTAAAATGCATCAGTTTCCACAAAAATAATCCATAGAAAAATTAAACCTTGATTATAATAAGAAGAATCATTGATCATGGTTCAGCACCAATAATAAATAATCAGCATATTACAGTGATTTCTAGTCACAAGAATCAAAAGAATAAATTTTAAAATCTATCTAAAAAAAAAACTCATTTTTAATGCAAATATTTCATAATTTTAGTTTTATATTATTTTTGATACAAACTTAAATGAGTTTCCTTCTTCTGTTAAACACAAAATAAGATATTTTAAAAAACTGAAAACCTGTATCTATTGACTTCTATTTTATTTTGGACAAAAATATACTACAGAATTCAATGGCTACAGGTTTCCAGCTTTATTATTTATAATTTTATTATATTTATTATATTTATAACAAGAATAAAAAATAAAGGTTTAAAACAAGTAAACCCAGTAAATGATTGCATAATTTGAGTGAACTATCCCTTTAAGGTTTCTAATTTTGACAAGTACTTTATGACTTGTTTCAAATAGCATGATATTAATATTGTTAACCATATTTAAAACGTTTTCCTTTATTATAGGTTGCTAATTACCAATCTTATCCTCTCTTTTTACAGGAACAGTGCAAATGTGGATTAAAAATAGAAAAAAGGTTCTTGGAGACCCACCAGGTACCATTGTGCATTATGAACAGCTATTCTTATGTTTTCATTAATGACTTCTGTAGATTTAACAACTTCTTGTTCCTCTCAGAGGTCAGAATGCAGTCATCGACTGGTCCCATGTCAGTTCTGTGATCTAGAGCTGGCCTCCTTTCAAGCTAAAGAGCATGAGGAGTACTGCGGGACCCGCACCGAGCCCTGTCCCGTCTGCAAGTGCAATGTTATGCTGAGAGAACAACACATCCATCCAGCCCTGTGCGGAAGTCTGACTCCACCTGAGGAGAGGCACAGTAGTAGGGCAGGGCCCCAGTCTCCTGGAGCATGGTTTGAGACACATTCCATCCATAACCTATTGAGGGCCCAGGAAAGGAGCCATAATAACAACAACACCGGGGCAGCAGACCGCAGAGGCCCACCACGACCCATTGAGGACAGACTGCATAACAGTACCAGAGGAACAGTGAGAGGAGGAACCAGGAGAAACACAGAAACGAGGAACAATGAATTTGCTTATTGTATGTATTATTCATCTTGTTTTATTAATTATTTAGAAACAACATTTAGAGTAAAATTCATGATATATTGGTTATCTGCATATACTAGACTCTATCTTAATCTATAGCTTTAATTGTGTATGCTTATTTCTGCCATATCAGTTTTTCATAGCAAAGTTGCCACAGAACAACTTCTGAACTCACAACCTGATGTCTTTTATACAGCCATGGGTTGCGGAAATGCTATTAAACATAATTGCATGCTGTTATACTAGGTACTAAGGTGGGTCAAAGCAAATGCCTTGCTTTTTATGCTGCATTGTGCCTGTATAAAGAATTTTAGGATGCCACAGAGCAGCCTTAATTTTCCTACAAAAAAGCCATACATCTGCTTTAACTGCTTTGCAGACTTTTTTTTTATCCAGAGCAACTTACAAATGAGGAAAATAGAAGCATTAAGACCAACAATATGTAGTTGCTGTGACAAGTCTCAGTTAGTCAAGCACAGCATTTTAACACAAAATTTGAATGAATGAACGGAATTAGAAAATAATGTGAAAATTGCGAGATCCAGCTGCTTGGGTCAAGTTAGGCTGGTCATTCCACCAGCAGAGAACAGTTAAGGTAAAAGTGATTTTATGGCTCTTTGGCTGGCACCTCATGAGCAGAATAGAAGCTTCTGCAGTAGACAGAGGTCTGAAGTAGTGAATTTAGTTAAAAGGTATCACAGCCAGTTGTTGTATTATAAGCAAACGTCAATGGCTTAATGTGACGTTTATGAGTGCCAGTTGGCAACTAGTGCAAACTGATGAACAGAGCTATGACCTGCAGTCTTTTCTTTAACTTCCACTCTTGCTGCCACATTTTAAATCAGTTGACAATAATGACTAAAAGGACTGCCAGGAGTGCATTACAATAATCCAGTCTGGACAGAACAAGAGCTTAAGCAAGGAGTTGAGTCGCATGCTCCAGAAGATCTCTCCAAAGCACAAATTATCCATCATCGACAAGCTATCCCTGTACCCAGGGCGCATCCCCTGCACTTAGTCAATGTCATTGTGAGCATTTATACTTCTGCTTTCTGTCAGCGTTACATTGCAATAACACTTCTGAAATTTAGTTGGCAGTTTGGTTTCTATGCTCCACTGTGTGAAGTTTCTTTGCCGGCGTTTACTCTGGAAATGCGTGGGATGCTGCTACTATAACAATGGTTAAAACTCACACTCATTGTGGGAAGAAAGTGGCGAGAACCAGCATTTGTTTAAAAACTTCATTCACAAAATAATCAAAACAAAAAGTATCCATTTTTATCTCCTACGTTACAGCAAAGACTATAGAACACACAAGCCATGTCACTCACATCTTTTTGAATAGGGTAAAGTGTAATAGTCACTATAGTGAATAAAGTCCACCTTCTAGTACAGTAGCCAATTATCGATCGCTATATGACGGATAAAACCCACCTTCTTGTACAGGAGCCAATCATCGATCACTATAGACTGAAGATATTCCGGGGGAGGGGTTTGGACCAGACGTGAATTTCTGCAGATTTTATGTGATTAGACGTTTAGAAATGAAACTAAAGAGACGGATGTTGTTTAATTTTATTGGTGATTTCTAATATGAAATTCAATGGTAAGCTTGGCAAGCAGTTTTGGAGAATTTGATGTTTCTCCATTCAGACAGAATGCACAAGCATACTGCTCGAGAAGAGTTTCAAAGATGGCTGCCGAGTGAAATACCTTGCCTTAAAGGGACTTTAGTCATAGTCACTCCACAGACTCTTTACAGAAACTGTTTAATGCCGCTCAGGTGGTGTAAATACTGTACGTTGTGAGAAAGTGAATAATTTGAAAGCTAATATTCTGAATATTGTGTAGGCAAAATGCAATAGCAGTTTATCCCTACAATAAACAATAGGTTTTGAATGCGTTTCAAACCTACACCAGAATATTATATGAAGTTTCATAAACTAATTTCGAGAGGAGCACGTGATATGATTGACTGCAGCCGGCCACTCATCTAAGCTCATTAGCTAGCCAATCCGAACGATCCAAACCCACTATAAATAACCTAGCTAAAATGTACACCCCTATCTTCGTTTTCCGAAGAAGCACAGAAGGACGGACACAGCTCCTCTTCAAATCCTCAAATCTTCATCTACCATACCATCGCCTGCGACATTAACTTCAACCTAGACCAACCTACTACAAATCAACAACGACAGCAACAACAAAACTCAAAAAATTCAACGGACACGCCATCATCAACTAAACAACAACATCATGGAAAGAGACGATACACCCGCTCCCCTAGGAACACCAGCACAAGGACAACAAGCCCCAACCGGAAACCAAACAAACACCGAAGCTCCCATAAGAGGCAGAAGACCCATCCGCTCTACAGTTTCAAGGACCCATCGCCGTACACAGTCTCCATCCCCCATAACCCCAAACCGCAACTTACCTTCTCCATCTTCATCATACGCATCTGCAAGATCCTCATCCCTCATCTCAAATAAAATGACAGTCGCCGAACTCCGTCAGACCATTACAAACGCCGGTATATCCATCCCCAACCGCTGCAACAAAGCTGAACTGTTGAAACTCTACGAAACCATCCCTTCACCAACTCCTCCCCCTCAGGACAGCAGACCAACTCGATCCCGGCACACCCCCTATCCTCAACCGACTTCTGCACAGCAAGCAACTAACCACCCCGGACCACCCAAGAAAGCAACCAGGAAAACAAATAAAAAGCTACCCCAAGCTACTGGACAGTCTGCACCCGTTACCATTACCTTTCAAAACACAGACAATCCACAGGAAAATCACGCCACTCCAGGACTTCCCACTCCCCTTCTCTGGCCTCCAGCTCCACTTTCCAGCGGAAACTCCATTCCTGCTCTTCCAGACATCTCTCCCTCTCTCAACCCTCCTCATTCTATTCTCCCTTCTAACCTTCCCCATTCTTCAACTCAGTTTTTTCCCACTCAAACTTTTCCTACGGTCCATAACGCCGTTCCTCTTTCTACTAATTTCCCCTCTTCTACTACCTCCTTTTTCCCCTCTACATCCCTCCACCAAGCACCCACTGTCATTACTAACCCTCCCCAACAGTCTACTCTTCGTACTAACATCTCTTCCGCACGGCCCCCCTTCACTCTAAGCACCGCCACACCCCTTCCCATTCCGCAAAATGCTCCAGTCCTGGAACCACCCCCGATCTCCAATGCCATCAGAAACCTCATCTTATCAGGTGCCGACATAGACCTTTCAACACTCCTTTCACCCATAGCACCTCCCTCGGCAGAGCGACAGGTGGATTGCGGCGAATTCACTATTACCCTTAAACCACCAGTCAGTTCACAAACTCGCACACTCTCCATTGCCGAATTTCACGTAGCCTTCGCACGATACACAGAAACCATCTGCTCAGTTTTTCCCCATAGGAGGCGCGAGCTGAATGACTATATGGCCATCATCTCAGAGCTCGCGCTCTCCTATGGGGGAACACATTTCTACACATATCATAAATTATTCTCAGCTAAATGCGCAATTCGCGTCACTCAGTGGAATCAGTGTACTTATTGGGGGGCTTTGGACACTGATCTCCACAACAGAGTATTCTTAGGATGTCGCAATCTATCCTGCGCGGTCTGCCGCTCTAACCTTCACCCGACCACTTCCTGTCCCTTCGTAATTCCCTCCGCCGATAAAGAACTACAAACCCCAAAATCCACCAGCTACGTACCTCGCCCTTCTACTTCCACTATCCCCTCCCTACTTCCTCCTCCCTCCTCTCAAAACCCTCCTTCTCAAATCTGTCAAAGCTTTAATATCGCTAGATGCTTTCGCCACCCGTGCAAATTCCTGCACACTTGTAGCTACTGCGGCGGCGCACACGCTCGTGTCGTCTGCCAAGTACTAAAAGCAAATAAAAAACATAGAAATTACTTGTCGACTCCTGTTGATATTTCTAATCTGTATTCTGAATTATGCTTGCACCCTGATCCTAATTTTTCTGAATTTCTCATTTCAGGTCTGTCTAATGGATTCCACCCTGGTGTTTCGACCCTTCCTTCCTATAACCTCGCATGTCCTAATCTCCAATCCGCTAACGCCGAACCAGATGTGGTGGATCATCTAATCAAGAAAGAGATCGATAATAAATTTATGATCGGTCCCTTTCTTGCCCCCCCGTTTAGCACCTATCGAATTAGTCCAATCGGCGTAGCAACCAGAAAATTTTCTGGGAAAAAACGACTAATAATCGACCTGTCTTCTCCTCATAATTCTGCCTTTTCAAGCATTAATAGTTTAATTTCACCCGATGAATTCTCATTGAACTACCATGACATAGACCAAGCAATTTCTCTAATTAAACTCGTCGGCCGTAACGCTTGGCTCGCTAAAGTTGACATTACGTCAGCTTTTAAAATTATGCCGTTACAACCTGATTTCTGGCACCTCTTTGGCATCAATTGGAAATCCCAATTTTATTTCGCAGTCCGTCTGACGTTCGGCTGCAGAAGCAGCCCCAAAATTTTCGACATGCTTTCAGAAGCTATATGCTGGATCCTCGCTAATAATTACGGAATCCCGCACGTAGTCCACCTCCTTGATGATTTCCTCATCATCTCTCCCCCCCATACCCCACCTGCTCAACACCTAGCGACTACTAAAGCAGTTTTCGCTAGGCTGGGTATCCCCCTTGCAGAAGAAAAAACCGCTGGACCCAGCACTCGCTTAGAATTTCTAGGCATTAATTTGGACTCCCAAAAATTTGAAGCTTCGCTGCCCAAAGAGAAAATTGATCGAATCATTTCTCTATCTTCCATATTTTTGGAGAAACATGAATGTTCTAAACGCGAACTGCTATCAATATTAGGACATCTTAATTTCGCCATGCGTATCATTCCTCAGGGACGCCCGTTTATCACTCACCTCTTACAACTCGCAGCTTCCGTCCACAGCTTAGAAGATAACATAACGTTATCCGACCCCTGCCGCAATGAACTCAGCCTGTGGATTTCCTTCCTTAAGTGCTGGAACGGCTGCTCATTCCTGCATAGCGATCTAATTGCATCCCCCGTAGACATCCAGCTATACACGGACGCAGCTCCCTCGGTAGGATTCGGCGGTTTCTACCAAGGCCGCTGGTTCGCCTCTGATTGGCCCTCTCAAATGCTGGAAACTCCTCTACCTCAATATTCGTCTGCTTTATTCGAATTATACCCCATAGTAGCCGCTGCCTTATTATGGGGAGACGAATGGTCTGCCTCTAGCATTCTCATTCACTGTGACAACGAAGCCGTTGTGCACTGCATTAACAGAGGGCGCTCTCACTCTCCCGCTTTAATGCCGCTTCTCCGTCGCCTTATTTGGACCGCAGCCAAAAAACAATTTATCATAACTGCTATACATGTGCCCGGTTTTCATAACCAAATTGCTGACGCTCTTTCTCGCTTTCTTTTCCAGAGATTCAGACAACTAGCGCCGGAGGCAGAGCAGCACCCGACTCCCATCCCTCCTTATTCAGAGATGATATTCCAATAAATCATCCAATGCATGAGCTGCACCAAACATCCATATCCCTCATTCTGCAGGCTGTGGCTCCAAGGACCTTACAAGCATATCTCACTGCATGGAAAACATTCAAACACTTTCATTTCACATACAACACCATATTCCCAGATTTCTCCCTGCTTACAATAAGCTCATTTATTACATACCTTCATTTTCATAAAAACATGCAGGCAAACTCCATTAAGAGCTATTTAAGTGGTATTCAGTTTTTTCACAAACTCATGTACGGCTCCATTTCTGAATCCATTGCCAACTCTCAAGTCAGCCTTCTTATTAAAGGCATACAGAAAGCACGCCCCCCCACCCCAGATGCCAGATTGCCCATCACACATAACATACTCTCCAAATGCATTTCCACGCTCAGGAAAGGCTACACATCTTTTCATACAGACCGCACACTAGATGCAATGTTTATTCTTGCCTTTTTCGGATTTCTCAGATGTTCTGAATTTACAGTAACATCAAAATTTGATCCTTCTATTCACCCCACTATAGCTGATCTGACCCTGATTGATGAGGAGACAATTTCTTTCCTCATCAAACAAAGCAAAACAGATCAATCAAGAAAAGGACATTGCATCTACATATTTAACATTCCCTCCTCCACAAGCCCCTTCCAAACACTCCTAGCTTATATTCACTATAGGAAATCACTAAGCAACAGTCCCTTAGCCCCCCTGTTCATAGACGACACACACAACCCAGCGACACGCTTTTGGTTCCAAAAACACCTCAAAGCTACCCTACATCATTCAGGCTTCCCATCAGAATCATACTCCAGCCATTCATTCAGAATCGGAGCCGCCACCACAGCCGCACACAAAGGGTTAACGCAACAACACATACAAACACTTGGAAGATGGTCTTCCGACGCCTTTAAATCTTACATCAGGCTGAGCCACAGCCATCTTAAGGAAGCCCAGAGGACCCTCACTAGCAGAAATGCCAATCCCAGCGGCCAAGGGCACAGGCATAATCCAGGGACAAGTCAAGACCCAGCCATGCCAGCTCCCCAGGGGCGGAAGAGCTACCCAATTATGTAAAGGAGCAGGCACGACCCAGCCTCCTAACGGTTTCCCTCCTTCCAGCTTGAGTTGCACTCAGCTTCTCTACCTAGACACTCACCTTACTACAGCAGACGTTCCTCCTGCCCAAGCCCCCTTCTGCCACTCCGCCCCCCCAGGCCGCTGCCACAGAAGTCTCCACTGCCCCCACCCCATTCTAGGACTTCTGTAGGACCCCGCCCCTTGGATCTGAACCCGTACAACGTTACACAGAGCTTTGATTCCGGCAGGAATCATAATAGTCTTGCCCCAGCCCTAGCTTTTATATATTATATATCATTTCTTATAATGCTATATAATATAGTCTTATTTTATTTTCTCTGTTCGATTTGTTTTATATAAATGTATATTCATATGCACCCACGCATATAAATATAAATTTATATATAGTGCCGCCACCCTCATGCTCAGTTCCCGCTGGAACACTCCCAGAGCACCTATTCCGCCCGTCACCCTCTAGTAGAAGTCTCCATCTCCCCATCATCTCTCCCGACTCCTACTGGAGTTGGCCACAATTAGCTCACCCAACCCTGAGCTGTGACACGAGCACGAGTCACTGACCCTCCCCGGCCCTAGACCTTATTTTTCTTTATTTCTTATTTATTTTTCACATTTATCTTTTATTTTTAAATTTATTTATATATCTATATATCTATATGCACCCACGCATATAAATATATACTTATATATAGTGCTGTCACCTTCAAGCTCTAACACTCGCAAGAGTTGCTCACGAGCATTCTACCCCCGCAGGGGTCATCTCCCAAACGCCACTCACCCTTCAGCTGGGGCCTCCACCTGCCCTCCATCGTTCCCGTCCCTAGCTGGAGATGGCACTTGCAGCTCTATCTCCCGCTGGAGAGCCCAAAAGAGCTAGACTCCCGCTGGAGTCAAGTAAAATCGCCCCCCCAAGGCCTTAGTTTTTTCCCCATTATATATATATATATATCTATATATCACATATACATATATATTTATATATAGTGCTGTCACCCTCAAGCTATAACTCTAGCAAGAGTTGCTCCCGAGCATTCGACCCCCGCAGGGGTCATCGCCCAACCGCCACTCACCCTTCAGCTGGGGCCTCCACCTGCCCTCCATCGTTCCCGTCCCTAGCTGGAGATGGCACTTGCAGCTCTATCTCCCGCTGGAGAGCCCAAAAGAGCTAGACTCCCGCTGGAGTCAAGTAAAATCGCCCCCCCAAGGCCTTAGTTTTCCCCATTATATATATATATATCTATATATCGCATATACATATATATTTATATATAGTGCTGTCACCTCACAGCTCTATCTCCGCAAGGAGTGTTCCTCGAGCAATTACTCCTTAGGAGCCCCTGGCCCCCCCGCAGCCCTAGTAACCCCCTCATCCAGCTGGAGTCCTCACGTTTCACTCCTCATCATTTTGACTCCAACTGGATCCCCGTCCATCCCACAGCTCTGACCCCCGCTGGGGTTTCCCTTAGTTTCTAATCCAGCTGGAGTATTTATAGCCCACGCCAACTCGGCACGGGCTCCCGCAAGAGCCCGTATCCCCCTTGGCTCCCATCGGAGCCCCTTCACTTTCAACCACTATATCCAGCAGCCGGATATAGCATTTCAAGCCTTTCGGGGAGTTTCTTCGAATACACGGCTGCTGTCCCGAGTCTCATGCATTTGGGGAGCTCTCGAGAACACCTGACCTCGTACTCCCCTCACATGCTTTATGGACCTGGCGGGAACCCTGGGCTCAACTATCTCCGAGCTCAGGGTTCTCTCCCGGGACAGCATGCCAAACCTGCTAACTTGCTAACAAGTTGTCAAACAGTATCTAAGTGTGAACTCTTGAAATGAAGTTTCATAAACTAATTTCGAGAGGAGCACGTGATATGATTGACTGCAGCCGGCCACTCATCTAAGCTCATTAGCTAGCCAATCGGAACGATCCAAACCCACTATAAATAACCTAGCTAAAATGTACACCCCTATCTTCGTTTTCCGAAGAAACCCCCCATCCACCCCTTCTCCTCCTTTCCTCTTTTGCCGAGGGGAGCTCTCGAGAACACCTGACCTCGTACTCCCCTCACATGCTTTATGGACCTGGCGGGAACCCTGGGCTCAACTATCTCCGAGCTCAGGGTTCTCTCCCGGGACAGCATGCCAAACCTGCTAACTTGCTAACAAGTTGTCAAACAGTATCTAAGTGTGAACTCTTGAAAGGAGCTTTGTCTGGGATTTTGCAGGATGCTCGAGGGGAGAACTAACCTTTCACTCTGCTCATTTCCTCAGTGCTGGATCAGGAAACGGAGCTCGGGAACAACAACAACAGCCTGCTGTGGTCTCTGGGACAACTGCCAGACTACGAGTCGTCCAGTCTGGACTACATGCTGGCCCTCAGCCTGCAGACTGAAGGTGACTTGGAGGACCCCCGACAAGAGGGTGTGTGGACTGATGTATGGGACCAACGCATGGGAAGGACTCCAGCCCATAGCAATCTCACTTCCCAGCTCTCCTCCAACACCAGCAAGAACTGCACCACAGCTCCCCCTAAAACCCACACAAACCTGGGCCAAAGCCCTTCCTCAAACATCATGCTGCCTTGTGAGTTCTGTGAAGAGCTCTTTCCAGAGGAGGACCTCATCTTACACCAGGTAAGTGATGAGGTCTCAATTATCCCATCAGCTTAAACTCCCTCTTGGCTTGATATTTAAGCCTCTTGTGTCTCTATAGAGCTGGACAGTGGTGCCTCTATAGTCGATTCTTTAGAGTGCCTTTACATGTCTACGCTAACAGAGTACAACATAAGCCATGTTTTTCACAGCAGGCTTTTGTAATGTCAGCCCTGATGTTGAATCTCCCACTCCATTCGTTCTTGTCAGGTCTCTATTGTTTCACAATGTGGTGTTTTGTTTCCATGGGAACCTCCTCGAATTTCAGCCCTCTAGGTTCTCCCACAGGCCGAACCCTGATCAGATTCGTCTCCGCTTTCTGGGGCTGTACAAGAGGGCTGTGTTTTCAGAGTCACTTGTTTTGGGATTTTTGGCGTGAAGTAAATATTCTGTTTTTGTCTTCCAGACCGGCTGCAGTCCAGCCTCTGCTATCGCTTCCTTCAGTAAACAAGTTCCTTCTCTCCAATATGAAGACATCATCCCTCAAGGGACTAGCCATGTCATTCCTCCTCGAACACCCAGTCCACCCACTCTGCCTCTCTCCGTTTCTCCAATTTCCTACAGTTCCTCCTCCAGCCCAGTTGAGGGTGATGTGCTCATTCCTTGTGAGTTTTGTGGCGTTGCCTTGGAGGAGAATGTACTCTTTCACCACCAGGTATGACAACCTGTGCTTTTCTTTCCTCCAATTTGTAGCAGTCATTAAATAGTTTTACATGCTATAGAATAAAGTGTTTTTAAAGGGCTCTTATAATGAAAATCATCTAGTGTGTTCACAGTCATATTGGAGAGATAGAAAGACAATAAGTCTCTTAAAAATGTTCTGACAATAAATATAGGATCCAAATCCCTCCCATTTTGACGCCCACCGCAACGTGACCTAAGAGGGCAGTTTCTCCGCCCACCGAATTGATTGACAGCTGCGTATTAACATGTCTCTGTAGTAACATGTATAATCATGTCCACAAGACAAGATGTTCGCAAAGCAACTGGGATTAAATGATCTGTTCAGCTCTCTGTGACCAGCAGCACCTCAAGAACGAGTTTTACAAGTTAAAACAGTGCATGTTTGTAATAAAGACAGTAAAATTGCTGTAATTTATCACCACAGCTGCATGTCAGTACAATTATAAAAGAAGATGTTTCAATCCTGGTTTGTGGACTTAAGTCAGGTTTATTTTTTACATTAAAATAACGGATATTTATACAGCAGTGGATATTAATGTGTATCCTGTCACATTTGCCTTGCAAAACTAAATGTGCTAAATGTGCAGGTACGGGCACAAACTTTATATTGAAATTGTGTGTGACTCGTCGTTGTAGCTAGGCTTCAATTACCTCCACAACTAATACATCAAATAACTGCTCGGATAGTTCTTAATGTAGTAAGCGAGATCGGCTTCATTCTTGTCTTTCACTGTGCTGCTTACGCGTGAGACACAGCAGGAGAAGCTACACCCATCATAGCAATAGTGGGTCCCACTTTATATTAAGTGTCCCTAACTACTATGTACTTACATCAAAAAAATAAATACAATGTACTTACTGTGTTTATAATGTATTTGAGAACACTTGTGGTGCTTTTGAGTTGGGATAGAGGTTTGGTTATGAACAGGTTTGGTGGCGTGGGCAGGTTTAAGAGTGGGTTAAGGTGTAAGGGATGGTCAACAGTGTATTTACAAATGTAATTACAAAAGTTAATTACAGATGTAATTACATACAGGTATTTAATCAAGCATAAGTACACAGTAAACACATGTATTTACACAATAAGTACATTGTAACAAACTATTAATTCCTATGTAAGTACATATTAGTTAAGGCCACTTAATATAAAGTGGGACCCAATAGGGTGCGATCTCTTTGGCTCAGGCACTAAAACGGCTACAAAGTCAAAAAAGCTCAAACTTCCTGTGTACACAAAGGTATAATAAACAATCTGATGGGTATTTTAAATATAATGTATTATTAATAATGTGAAACTTTACAAACACATTGGAGATGCAAAATACTTATTTTAAATCTTGAAAGTAGTAAAATAGGTGCCCTTAAAGTTCAATTTACAATTTAAATTTACAACTGTTAAATGTTCCTTTTACCCAAGATTAAATGCAGGTTTAAAAGGGTTAAAAAGTGCTGAAGCAGTTGATCAGCTACAAGAAACAATACATAAAAGTAAGAAACTATGTATGTGGTTTTGTTTTTTTTTCAATAAATACAAATAAATAAATATAAAATTCAAAGGGTAAATATTTAAAGAATACTTTATGGAAATCGGTTCATTGAAGGACATTTTGTTACAAAATCTATCTATTTGTATGAAATGGCACCATTTCATTTTTAAATGGCAGGAAAATTGTTGGGATTTTAAAGTATAAAATATTTTTCAAGATTCTTATAAATATTATCAGAAAAATGCTTTTCAAGTTTTCATAAATGAAATACTCCACTTACTTGAGGGATTTTGCCTTTATCCCACTAAATGAGCAACAAATTACAAGATGTAGTTAATTAGTAAACATTAGGAAAAAAATGTTTTGCAAAAACAGCAGTTTCTTAAATGTAATGAAAAATCCCTACAGACAAAATAATAACATTTTATGATTAATACAAATGAATAACAATACATTTTGATAGTATTTAAATTTATTTAAATGGTATATTTTAAAATAAACTTATATTGCAAAAAAAGAGCACCATTTTATTTTCATTGCCCAAGTAGTGTTAAACAAAATCCTTCTACATTTTTTTTTGCAAACTTTTTAAAATGGCAAAAAAAAATAAAATTGTAATAGCAGGACAATTTGACAATTTTGACAATTTCAGAAATGAAATACATGCTCCAATAATTTTATGTCTGGTTCACAAAATGGGCACTCCTTACAATTCAAATTCAATCTGTGCTCCAAAACATTGGGAGAACACATTTATGTTATTGTTTTGCAATTTGGCTTGTACATTCAAATTCACTTGAATGTACGCACACTTTCCCTTATGCTTAGATCCAATCAGTTTTGAATCATTCATGATTTGTTTCTGCCAGTACGTTTAACCACTTCTCTAAAGAATGTAAACCAAAAAGCACGGTGTGATTTTGATGACACACTTTAATCTTTTGAAACTGTACAGGACAAGTGTGACCTCCGGCCCCATACAGCTTATTTTGTTGATGGAGTGTCTTCACGAAAACCTCATCACACCACCAAAGAGACCCACGAGAGGAGATCGCCTGAGAGGCAGAGGAGGGTGAGACATCAAGGTGAGGCACCACAACACATTAACAACTTTAAAATCCACTCAAAGGATTAAAACTTTGCATCCAAAATTGAAAGTTGCCTCACCCTTTGCTCTTCTTCAAGTGGTTTCAAACCTTTGAGTTTCTGTTTTCTGTTGAACACAAAAGAAGATATTTTGAAGAAAGTAGGAAAAACAAATACTACAGAGGTCAATGGTTACAGGCATTAAATATCTTCTTTTGTGTTTAATAGACAAAAGAAACTCAAACAAGTTTGTTAAAAGTAAAAGTTGAGTAAATCAGTTTTGGGTGAAATTGGTGTCGCCACTGGCTTGCATGGTTCGGGACTTGTGGAGCTGCGCAACAATGGATTTGCTCTTCAACGTTTGGACTTTCAGCAGTGAAAATGAAACCTCACTAAACTGAAATAAACTGAACTTAAACGTAAAACTAGACTGACACACTGACTGTTTCAACTTACTATAATCGTCTATGTTAAGCTGCTTTGTCACAATCTACATTGTAAAATCGCTATAGAAATAAAGATAAAAAAATAAAGATTATTTAAATAAAGATTAAATTAAATTATCTTTATCATTGTACTCCCTGAATGTGTTTTTGCAGCTGACCCAGATGAGGAGCTCCTGCAGCAGACGGCTCACGGGTGGCAGAGAGGCTCCTCAGCTTTAGACCAGTGGCCCTCAGCCCACAGTTACACCAAAAACACCAATGCTGAGCAGCAGGTCAAGAGCAGGAACCAAAGGCGCAGAGCTGTAGAAGTCAATACGTATCTCAGCGACAGCCCAAAGCCCCATTCTACAACTACTTCGGGGTAAGAAATTTTCTTTGGATATCCCCATATGTGTATATACAGTAATGTGTGTGTGTGTGTGTGTATATATATATATGGCCTGATCCGGAAGTGAGGTGTAAAAGGTGTAAATAGAAGGTGGTATTAATTTCCAAGTGTCAAAAATAATGTCCAGTGTAAAATATTTATACAGTGTCCCAGTTTCACCAATATATATACAAAATTAAGCAGAAAAAAAAAATCAAGGTACCAAACAAAACCCACATACATAGTAAGAAAATATAAAGGCGTACACTCACCGGCCACTTTATTAGGTACAACTGTCAAACTGCTTGTAAATGCAAATTTCTAATCAGCCAATCCCATGGCAGCAACTCAATGCATTTAGGCATGTACTTTAGATGTGGAAAATTAGAAAACTGAGCTGAAAATTCGCATAGGCTCACCAAAATTGAACAACAGAAGATTGGAAAAACGTTGCTTGGTCTGATGACTCTCAATTTCTGCTGCAACATTCGGATGGTCTGGTCAGAATTTGGAGTCAACAACATGAAAACATGGATAAACATCCTGCGTTGTATCAACGGTTCAGGCTGGTGGTAATGGTGTAATGGTGTCAGGTATATTTTCTTGGCACACTTTATGCCCTTTGGTACCATTGTGTAAACGCCACAGCCTACCTGAGTATTGTTGCTGACCAAGTACATCCCTTTATGATCGCAGTGTACCCATCTTCTGATGACTACTTTCGGCTACCACGCCATGTCATAAAGCACAAATAATCTCAGACTGGTTTCTTGAACATAACAATGAGTTCAATGTAATCAAATGGCCTCCAAAGTCACCAGATCGGAATCCAGTAGAGCACCTTTGGGATCTCTGAGGAATACTATGCCACGAAGAATTAAGGCAGTTTTGAAAGCAAAAGCGAGTCCAACCCGATACTAGAAGGTGTACCTAATAAAGCCGGTGCATATACGACAGCTCAAAAACAAAACTACATACATTACAGATTAAGTAGAGATGCACAATATTATTAAAGTGTTCATCCGATAATGTTTTAAATGTAAATATCAGAATCCGTCTGACTTGGCGGTAAGATCACGTTTACGGTCAGCCTGCTGTAATATACTTTTTTGCCTGCAGTCTAGTCATTCTTAAGGTGAATTTTAGTAATGAAAGTAAAATACACAAAAAAATATCAATTTGTCATAAAATCTGATGTAAGATTTGATTTAATGGCTAGAACCTAAGTCTTTAAATCAGTAGTTTGGTTTTCCATAAGATCGCCCCCAAGCAGCCTATTATTTGGGAGTGCTGTGTTACAATGATACATAAAATGAAAACTAATTCTAATTCTGTGTGGAAAACAAGCATTATTAAGTGTCATATAATCTCTAGTCTGATTTGATTTATTGTTCTGAAGCTGCAGCTTAGAAAAGTCACAAACCAGACACTTGTTAATTACCCATTCTTTCTTAATAATAAAACAAAACATATAAATAAATAAAAAAAATACGAGATTACTACTTCTATTGACTATCAGCCAAAAAGAGTCTAAATATGGACCTGATATTAGTAAAAATCCAATATCATGCATCACTATACTAATGTTAAGAGAAAAATAATAATTGTGAAAAATAGTATTACAATTGAGTCTATTTTCCTGATGGCAGAACTCCACACAGAGGAAGACTCGAAGGTCGAAGGAATGAGAAAAACACAGAGACACCAAAGGTATGCATGTATATTACTAAAAGAACATAAACCAAATTTAGAAAAGCTATAGTTCTTCAGATTGGATGTAAACCTGAAGTAATACTTAATTTTTGGCATGTTATTAATCACTTTTTGTTCCCCAGGTGCCTAAAAAACATAACGTTGAAAAAGAGGAGGAGTAGAAAATGAGGAAGTAAACCTTTTTTAGTTTCTCACTCAAACCTCAAGCAGTGACCTGTTGTTGTGGTTTGTAGGCAATTATGTTTGTGTTTATAAAACATTTACATATCCATGTGAATTGATCAATTCTTTGGCTTGTAAATGGATTTCTTTGATTGCACTAGTTCATTTTTTTCTTCTTCGTACTTTTTTCTATGTTGTTTGTATGTAATTTTAACAGTTTTAAGCTTTGCCTTTGTTTGGTTTGAAAGACATTGAAGAAATGTTTTATATTTGAAGGAAATCTCCACACGTTGTAGTATAAATATAGAAACTCCCTTAACCCTTTGCTGTAATGTTGTATGCTTTAGTTAATGCAATGGTTAACATGAACGATACTGCATTTATTGATCCTGGTTAATATTATTTTTAACATACACAAACTCTAATAAACCTGTTACCAACATTACATAAATTTAACATTAACAATGATTAATAAATGCTGTAAAATAATGATACGGAATGCATTAACTGATGTTAACTATAATCTAAAGCATAACATAATTTTACTGTAAGCCTGTCTGTTTGGTGGAACAATTGGTTATTTTGTTGAGAGGATTGTTTATCTTCCTTTGCTCATGTATCCATCACATCTTTTCAATAAAAAGATTTTGCTGTGGCTGAAAGGGGACGTCTGGAGTTTTATTGATTTTTCATTCAATCATTTGTTTATTTTCTTTATTCATTATTCATTTCGATTAGACGTTTTCATCTCCTTATGGTTGAACAACTGATTGAATGCTGAGGTTTATTTACCTGTCTGATTTCAGATTATATTACACTGTTGCAGCTGCTTAATAAACATCATGAAAAATAAGGCAAAAAAAGAGGCTGTTAGTTTGTTTAGAACAAGCGGAAGGAATCACATTTAGGACTAGTATGCAGTAGTATTTCCCCATTTGACACTGACATGGGTTGAAATGCTGCCAGCAAAAAGCTTGAATAGCTTATCTGAGGATGTTGCCTCAGGTTGCTTTGAATTTGTAATTTCTAATAAAAAGCTTCACTCTGTTCTGAATGTTACGTAGTAATGAATTGAGGTCAACACTGAAAAAAAGTCAGTTTTGTTTTATTAAGTGCTAATAATTATACTAGATGTACTAGATCTGTTGCATTGTGCTGTGTGATAAAAATACACATTTTATGGCTCGTTTCCACTGACTGGTACTGTACGGATCACCTTTATCAAGCTTGCGTTTCCACTACCAAGGGTACCCTTTTGGTGGGCGTGGTGTATGACAAAGTCTCAGTCGACGTCATGTTTGCTTCAGAAAATGTCTACAGTAAAGCTGTATGGGTCACTTACATATCATATGAGAAGCACTTCTAACAAAAAAGATGGCTTTATACACATAAATACTCATGTATAAATGTTTAATACTAACTTTTCGGTCACACTTTACAATAAGGTTCATTAGTTAATGTTAATTAATGCATTTACTGACATGAACAAACAATGAACAATACATCTACTACTGTATTTGTTCATGATAGTTAACGTTAGTTCATAAAAATAAAGTAGTTCATTGTTAGTTCATGTTAACTCATGGTCCATTAACTAATGTTAACAAGCATGGACTTGGGTGTTAATAATGCATTAGTAAATGTTCAATTATGATTAAAAATGCTGTACATTTGTTATTCATGATTAGTGCATGATAGTAAATGCATTAACTAATGAACCTTATTGTAAAGTGTTACCAACATTTCTATGAACATGAGCTGACTATAACTGCAGATCAATGACGAAATAGCCTACTGTAACGTCTGCAATTATTCATTCATTAATTTTCTTGTCGGCTTAGTCCCTTTATTACTCCAGGGTCGCCACAGCGGAATGAACCGCCAACCCATCCAGCAAGTTTTTCCATGCAGCGGATGCCCTTCCAGCCGCAACCCATCTCTGGGAAACATCCACACACACACTCATAAACTACGGACAATTTAGCCCACCCAATTCACCTGTACCGCATATCTTTGGATTGTGGGGGAAACCGGAGCACCCGGAGGAAATCCACGCGAACGCAGGGAGAACATGCCAACTCCACACAGAAACGCCAATTGAGCTGAGGTTCAAACCAGCGACCTAGCGACCTTCTTGCTGTGAGGCGACAGCACTTCCTACTGTGTCTGCAATTATATAAAATAAATAAATGCAATGTACTGTATATGAACACATGCAGACCCTTTCAGTCTCCGATATGTTACCAACTACAGAAAAAAATACACAGCATTCATTTTGTCATTTAGGTTCAAAAACAACACAAAATATAGCCCACAGTCAGAGCAAACCTCTCATATGTGTGTTTAATCTTCAGCAGCACATGCAGCCTCTGTTAGAGAGTCATTCCATTATTCTAAGTTCATAATAGTGCAAAAGGTGATGATAATAGTTTTACATGGCAGTTTGTTCACGTTTGCTGAAAAAATAATATGCTCCTTTTTTTTTTTAACGCAGGTCACTCTCGCGTTTGTCAGTTTCTAACAGGATCGGGTTTTAAAACCACGTCAATAATCAAGCACGCGTTATTATTATCAGCTCAAAAAGTTTGTTATTTCAGATATAGACGAGCGGCGAGCGCAAGCAAGAAAGCGAAAGCGCTCGCGCTACAGACTGGCTCGTAAAAAAAAATTCAGTAAAAAAAAAACTTGTAAAGTCACAAGGTAAAATCTGCTTTTCTTTTTGGCTTTGTAGCTGTTCATCAAGACGACAACAAGGTTTCTTTGAGCCCGGGTCGACCATGGCTCATTATTATATGTATATATAATTACGCTGTAATCTCTTGGCTGTGTATTTTAAACATGGTGGTTCATTGTTTTGATTCTGGCTTGTTGCGCAAGCTAATGATGTATCTCTGTAAACCAATAGCGTGTAGCTGTGGGTCTAGCTCCGCCTTTTGGTATCCTTTCTCGTGTTTGGTACCCTTACGTACGGTACGGTTCGGTATGCCTTTTGACAGTGGAAACGGCCATAAAAGCGAACTGATCCGTACAGTACCACTCAGTGGAAACAGGCCATTAGAGTGGCCTTTTACTGTGGCCAGCCTGAGGCGCACCTGTACAATAACCATGTTGTCTAAACAGCATCTTGATATGCCACACCTGTGATGTGGATGGATTATCTCGGCCATAGGTCTTAAACTCAATTCCTAGAGGGACGCAGCTCTGCACAGTTTTGCTCCAACCCTGATCAAACACATCTGAGGCAACTAATCAAGGTGTTTAAGACTCTTTCGAATAATCAATTATTTGGATCAGTAGTGTTTGAATAAGGTTGGAGCAAAACTGTGCGTAGCTGCTGCGCCTAATCAAGTTTGAGACCTATGATCTAGGCAAAGGAGCCATGACTGCACACTGCATAATTTTATAAGTCATCAGATCGCAGTTGTTTTCTCACTGCATGACACTCGTGCGAACAAGCACTGATTTGCCTCCAATTTCAGGCATTTGTTGGCGATTTTGATTGTGCAGTGTGAATCTAAAATTTTTAGAAGATATGGCAAATATGTGAACAATGTGTGAGGTAAATATGGCCTTTGTGTACATAAAAAGCATTAGATGTTTGAGTTCAGCTCATGAAAAACTGTGTTTGTATGGCACATCGTTTTTTTTCAGGAACTGATTTTAAAGCAGCACTTCTCATGTTGCAAGCCTTGTTAATAGAGAAACTTGGCGAGGTGTATTTGTTTTCCATTTTAGTATTTAATATTTACTTGTGGACTTTATGACAGTCAAAGAATATTTCCCAAGGATGAGTGCTTTAGATGTCATGTTTACTGAAAGCATAAATATATGGTGTTACAAAAGACTACAACTTCTTCACCTTCACCTTGAGGTAGAATGTACTGAGGTTAAGGAACTTTTACAGATAATGCTGAATTTTCTGCTCACCCAAACATGAATGCTTAAAAAAGAGAGAACATTTTACCTCGATTCTGAGATGCAGATAGAGAAAAATTCAATAGCCTCAGTCAGTGCAGCAAGAAATTTAGGATGATGTTAATTTCCTGTTTAGAGCTATGGTGATTTTCTTGCATATTGTCTAGAGCAGTGAGTGCGCAGGTGCCACTAGTGGCCCACTGGCTTCCTCTAGTGGTGCAAAGGGGAATCACGCAATAAAAAAAAATGTTAAAAACACTAAGAAAATTTGCAAGTAGGCTAAATTATTAAAAGGTGAGCAAAACTGCCATTGTGGTCTCAATCTGGAAAGAGAAATGAAGATCAAGAGGAGAGCACAATAACTGAAGGGGATGTGAGTGAACAGAACAACTGCTAACAATGCTGGTAAGGTCCTTATAACATCTGCTAGCAGCAGTGAACAACACCAAACAGTGTTAAGTTGAACTATACATCAAATTCAATATACATCAAGAACAGAAACATCCCAGGGTGCAACGTCTGGTATGTGGCAAAGTTCTTAACAATGCATCCATGAAAAGGAATCTCATAACCAAGACCACAGCAATTAAAGATGCTGTATGTAAGTTTTTGGCTCTTCTAAAGCATAAACATAACATAATATGTTTGCAGATATTTAAGAAACATGCTAAGTAAACATTATTGTTAATCTGAAGAGCAAAGCTGAGGTCAGATATTCTGATTTGAAAATGGGTGTTACATGCCAGAATGCTGTCTTTGCTTTGGTTCTCTATAAATGTCCAGTAAAATGGCATTCAGACTCACACTGTTAGTATTTAACACTGAATAAAGCATGCAAGGTGTACCTGAGGGGATCATTGTCAGTTTTTTGTTGTTCAGCTGCAGGAAAGAAGCCATACATAATAGGTAGATTTAGCATGTTGTTTAATGTTGGTAGAACTGGTAGTTACTGTATGGCCATACATGGAGACATTAAAAGACGTTTTTAGAAATCTTAACTTGTCCACAGTTACCATTTAAAAGCATGTAAACTAAAATCCAGACTAATAAGCCATTTATGATGTTATGGGAGGCTGTCCTTTTGACAAATTAGGCTACTTGGGTCACAATGTCACTTGCATTGGATGTGATGTATGCATTTTTAGAAGGTGTAGTTCCTTTAGTGTTGTGCCTTGTTTAAAATAAAACTCACAGAGATGCAATCAAAATCATTCAAGAATGGCCATTCTTACAGCTGATGAATGATATGACAGAAGAATTAAAAAGCCTGCTTCTCTTTCTAGAAAAAGTTGCATCTGTAGTATAGAAGCATCTGCTTCATAGAAGTGATTTAATTACGATGCTTCCTTTCTTAGCACACAGAAAATTCCGAGGGCTGAAGTTACTGGCATGTCTGCTTATTTTGTTATGAAATGTTTGATGCTGTAATGCAGGGGTCCCAAGCTCGTTCCTGTAGTTTAGCTCAAACCCCAATTAGATAAACCTGAGCCACCAAATTAAGGTCTTAGTTTAGTCGTACAAAAATGTACAATTTTAAACAGGAGGCGTGGCACCCAACCCAGCCCCTGAACTCAACAATCATTGGGGGATAAGCAAATCTTATTAAATTGTACGAATGAGATCATACAAATGCCCACGAATTAGCCAAATCAAAGCTACAAATTGTGAGATTGTGTTGATACTGTAGATCAGGGGTTACCAACCCTGTTCCTGAGGAGCTACCATCCTGCAGATTTCAGTTGCATCCTTGAGCATACACACCTGCCTGTAATTATGAAGTGCTGCTTCAGGTCCTAAGCTCGCTGGGGTATTCATAGACATTTTCAACCTGTCGCTTAACCTAGCAGCTGTGCCAACATGCTTTAAAACCACCTCTATTGTGCCAGTGCCAAAACACTCCAGCCCAACATGCCTAAATGATTACCGCCCTGTAGCACTCACACCCATCATCATGAAGTGCTTCGAGCGGTTGGTCCTGGCACATCTAAAAGACTCTCTGCCATCCACACTCTACTCACATCATTTTCATACTGTGGCAACAGGAGCACAGAAGATGCAGTCTCCATAGCACTGCACTCTGTACTCAAACATGGACAATAAAAACACTTATGCACGAACGCTGTTTGTTGACTTCAGCTCAGCATTCAACACTGTCATACCCTCCAAATTACTGATCAAACTTAGAGACCTGGATATCGACACGTCTCTCTGCAACTGGGTTATGGACTTTCAGACTAACATCTGCTCCACCACCGTCAGACTCAACACTGGTGTACCACAGGGCTGTGTGCTGAGCCCCTCTTCACTCCCTTTTTACTATCGACTGTAGGCCTGTGAACAGATCCAACACTATCATCAAATTTGCAGATGACACCACAGTGATTGGTCTAATCAGCAATAATGATGAGACGGCCTACAGGGAGGAGATACAGCATCTGGCCACTTGGTGCACCGACAATAATCTGCTCCTTAACACCAACAAGACCAAGGAGCTCATTGTGGACTTCAGAAAGGGACGAACAGGCTCACATAATCCCATCCACATCAATGGGATGGCCGTTGAGCCCGTCTCATCCATCAAGTTCCTGGGGACCCACATCTCAAAGGACCTTTCCTGGACCACCAACACCTCCAGCCTGGTCAAGAAGGCTCACCAGCGCCTATTCTTCTTAAGGCAACTGCAGAAGAACCAGCTTTCATCAGCTGACTTGGTGAACTTCTACCGCTGCACAATAGAGAGCATCCTGACCAACTGTGTCACAGTCTGGTATGGAAGCTGCTCTGTTGCTGAGCGCAAGGCACTGCAGTGGGTGGTGAAAACTGCCCAACGCATCACAGGGACCACACTGCCAGCCATTGAGGACATCCAGAGAAAACACTGTTTGTGCTGAGCATGCAGTATTCTAAAGGACACCTTTTACCCCGCTGATAGACTGTTTTCACTCCTGCCTTCTGGCAGGCGATTCAGGCTCCCCCGGACAAAAACCAGCAGAGTGAGGAACAGGTTTTTCCCCAGAGCTGTCCCTCACTGACTCTTTTGCCCCCCAATACACCCCCCACTCTCCTCCAACTTAAACTCCTCATAATCACTGCACTGTTTAACATTAACATTTGCACATATATATTGCACTACATTACACTGATTTTCTTATTTGAACTGTACATACCCACTGCACATGGACATGTAATTTTGTGCACACCCACTGTACATATACATTTGTAATTATGTTTATTTATCTGCACACTTCTGATTATTAATAGCAACCTGTACATATATTCATATTCATCTATTGTAAATGTTCATAGCTAATACAACCTGTATATAATATTATAGTACATCCATCTGTAAATATTACCATAGTTTTTCTATAACTGCACTTTATAACTTATACCTGTATCCTGCATTTGCTGCTATTGCATTGCTGGTTAGACCTAAACTGCATTTCATTGCATTGTAATTGTACATGTGTAATGACAATAAAGTTGAATCTAATCTAATCTAATTAATTGGTTCAGGTGTGTTTGATCTGAGTTGCACCTAAAATCTGCAGGAAGCTCCTTAGGAACAGGGTTGATGACCCCTGCGGTAGATAATGCTGGGAATAGTTTTCTAATATAGGTGAATTTTAGAGAGTTGTTGGATGTTGTGTAAGCATATTATTTCAGTCTTCGCCTTTGACTGCAGCATTTAGTAAGGGCAAATAAATAAAAGTAAACTAAAATCTTTTTAACTAAAGAATTTGCTGGGGTTACCCTACAGAGACACATTTGTGTATTTAGAAAGTGGATCAATGAGTTCATAACTCTTTTCTTGACATGCACTCAGGCTTTACTCTAATTGCATAATGAGATCATAAATTGGCACATCAAATTGTTTTTGCTAAAATACTATTTGCATTAACTGCATCACACCCTTAGCAACCACCACTAGTTATATGAAAATCAATATAAATGTCAAAACATTTTCACGTTTTATATTTCAGTAAAAACAACCAGTTATTATTTTTTTTTAAATCAAGTACAAGTGACAACTTTCAATTTCGCTAATATCGATGACATAATTATCCTTTTCTTTTTGGATTTATTATTTGGAGTTTGGATTTGGATTTATTTACTGTTTTTACAGTATGTCCTTGTGTTAAGTCAAAGTATACAAAATAGTTATCCAAATGGTAATGGTAAATAATAAAAATATTTAAAATCATGGGGAATTTTTATAAAATATGGGTGTTTTTTTAAATAAATTAAATATATTTTATTAATATTATATCATTAATAACAATTATTCAACTGTCATCTCCTCATTAAGGTTAAATGCTGATAGCCTTGCAACCATTTATTGACTGTGCTGATGTGAGGGCTTTCTTAGAGGTTAATAATTTTTTTATAAAGTAAACAGACTAAAGGTTGTTTAACAACCAACCGTAAGGGCACAGGCTTTATAACTCAGTCTAGTTTGAGAAGAGGAACAACAGTTGTCTTTAGAGGTAGGGAAATCATTTTTTTTTAGATCTGAAATATTGAATAATTGTTTTGTTTGATAAATAAATGCAAATCTGATCTTGTAGAAGAAAAGAAAAATAAAGCAGCTAAATTGTTCATCGTTGCTGATGCGTCAAACTGTCATGAACATGTCCTCCTTGTCACTAATATGTTCTCAAACTCTTTCTGTTATATTTCCCCTCAGAGCCTTCAAATAAAACCATGGAACGGAACGGTGTACTTTTGTGGATTTTTGGTTTTGCAATAGTTGTCTGTGGGAATCAAGAGACTTTACAACAACCTCCCATTAGCGCTAAACTCCCGTCATTGATAAACATGAACAACGATTTTGCTTTTCACCTGTACAAAAGGGTTATTGAATTGCCTGACTATCAGTCCAAAAACATCTTCTTCTCTCCGTTCAGTGTGTCTATGGCCCTTTCTGAGCTTTCTTTAGGAGCCGGTGGAGACACCAAACAGCAGCTTCTCAGTGGCATTGGCTACAACAGCACAATCTTCAGCACTGAGGAAATGCACCAGCTGTTTCACAGTCTCCTGGAAGACATCAGCAATAGGACAGGAGTGGATATCGATGTCGGCACTGCTCTTTATGCAAGCGACCGATTTAAGCCTCATTCCAAGTTTCTGGAGGACATGAAGGAGTTTTACCACTCTGATGGCTTCACTGTAGATTTCAGGGTCAAAGAAACAGTCGATCAAATTAATAATTATGCAAAGAAAAAAACACAAGGAAAAATCAATCAAGCTGTTGATAATCTGGAAGACGATACTTTGATGTTTCTTCTCACATATATATATTTTAAAGGTAAGTGCACGGCTATACACAATAGTCAAAGTATTGCAATTCTGAAAATGGCATTAGATCTTCTTAAATAATTCCACTCTTTCTTCTAAAGGAAAATGGGACAAGCCTTTTAAGCCAGAAAAAACCCGTGAGAGTACATTTCATATAGATGATAAGACCACAGTTACGGTGCAAATGATGCATCAGTATGAACGTCTCAAAGTCTTTTATGATGCTGAACTGTCCACTAAAGTCCTCTGTCTTGACTACAAGGATTCCTTCTCCATGTTTCTGGCTGTCCCAGATGATAAAATGGAGCAAAAAAACATCAAAGATCTAGAGATGACAGTCTCTAGACAGCACGTTGAAAAGTGGAAGAGAAGTGCCTTTAAAAAGTTGGTTGTCTTCATTAAAATTAAGACCATCCCAATTGTTTCATTCAAGTGTTTTAAGTTTAGTGTGTTCATCATATGGATTACCCAGTCACCTTTAACCACAGTGACTTTTTTGTTCCTGCAGAACAGTTGACATCTACGTCCCCAAGCTTTCTCTGAAAACATCATACTCCTTGAAGGATATTTTGAAGGGAATGGGAATGGCTGATATATTTTCAGATAAAGCCAACTTTACAGGAGTTTCAGAGGAAAAGATCTTCGTTTCAAAGGTAAAGTCTCAAATCCATCTCTATTAAAAGTCAAAAGTCAAGTCAACAGTGTTCTGAAAAGATTATACAGTATCTAAAGTGATGTTTACCCTTTAATTTTAGAAATATGGGTAACACTTTACTCTAGGTCACAATTTATGTTATTAACAAACCATTAACTAACACTACCAGCTTAGTAAACTGTACTGTAAAACCCAAGTCACCTTTATCAAGTGAAATGAGCGTGGTTTATTCAAAATCTACTGAAAGTTAATTCTGCTCATTTGAAAAGAGTTTTAAACTCAGTGTTGAGGGTAATGAGTAATTAAATACCTATCACTTCAATTAAAATGGAGTAAGTTTACAGTACTCATGTAGATTAGTTTCTTTAACTCAAATGGTTTGTAGCAATCGTTTCCTTAAACGATTTGTCTTCCTCAAACGAATCGTCTTCCTCAAAGAGTTGCCTGAACTTATTAGGTTTTACAGTACTCAGTTGGTTTGAGGTCTCTTCAATAATTGTGCTTTACTGCGCTCAAATTGGTTCATTTACTCAAATGGATTAAGTTCACAGTACTCATTAAAATTAGCTTTTGAACTTAAATGGTTTGTTGCAATCGATTTCATCAAATAGTTTGAGTTACCTTGACTTTTGGGTTTTACAGTGTACTAATAAACTGTTTATTAATATTTAGTAAAAGCTGTGTTTAGATTTGGGTAAGATTAGGAATGCAGAATAGGAATATACTTTATAACTACTAATGAACAGTTGATATCTTAACAACAGGTAGTTGTTAATAAGCCAGTAGTTAATAGCATGAATCGTGACCTACTGTAACTGAAGTGTTACTGAAATATGAGCAGCATTTGTATTTAATTTATATTCACTGAATCTACTCAAGTTAAATATTTGGTCAAATCAAAATGAGACTCTGTGAATCAGAACTAAATCTATGCAGGCAGCAACTTTTGTAGTTTTGAAGATTTGAGGACAGGGACTGTTTTGACAATATTACAAACAAAACTTTGGAAAAACCTCTTTGTTTTGAAGTGCATCATTGTCATTCAAATATAACCTAAATCATGATTAAATTATATTATTAAAAGACTTTAAGAGGAGTCTGTTTGATTCACTTAGGTTTTGCATAAAGCCACTCTGGATATCGATGAGCAAGGAACCACCGCAGCAGCAGTGACAGGAGTTTCAATGAGAGTAAGGTTACACAACCCATTGAGTATTTTAAAATTTAATCGCCCATTCATGATCTTTATCACGGATCAAACAAATGACAACATCCTTTTCTTTGGGAAAGTCGTCAACCCAAATGAAAAACTGTGATGTTGCCCACAAGATGTTAAGACAATGTTAGCCAGTAGGTGGAAACCATTTAACAACTGCAGTGCCATAGATTGCAGATTTTGTAGAGTTCAGTTTTTATTGTTTTAACACATCTGAAGCAGCTTATTTACTGTAGGTGATGGTTGGAAAAAAATAAACTGCAAGAAATTGATTTGATTCCTTTTATACACCACACATTTAGTGTTTTAAGGTGCTGTATGTAAGTTTTTGATTTTTCTAAAGCATAAAAAACACCATAATATGTTTGCAGATATTTAAAAAACATGCTAAGTGAACATGTTTATCTGAAAAACAATGCTGAAGTCAGATTTTCTGTTTTTACAATGTCCATTACATGCTAGAACTGCTGTCTTTGTTTTGGTTCTTTTAACCCACCCACTGCCAGTTTAGCAATTATATTTAGCACCCCTGGTTGCTAGTACACCTTATTTAATTTGTTTAAAGGTAATTATATAGACAGTATAGGTGAAAATGTAATTATTTGGAGGCATGTAAACATAGTCACTGAGTCTTTATGTCACTGGAACACTAGGGTGATTAAATTAGTTCAGATAAGATTCAACTTTATTGTAATTCAACATGTACAAGTACAAAGCAATGAAATGCACCTTCTGTTGTAATAACTAGAATCAGCTACAGTTTTCTATTAATAATGAGGAATATGCACACTGATATGAACATAATATACAAGTTGTTATTTGCTACAAACAGGAGTTGCAAATAGATATGTAGATATGTAAGTCATAAGTTCAATGTATATGCACAGTGGATATGTATATGTGCAGAGTGGTGCAATGATTATGTGCTATATTAAGTGTGCTATGGTGCAATGGGAGTTCAAGTTATGGGGTGGGGTGTAGATGCACAAGTACTACTAAATGAATGTTACGCACAGCTACGAGCAGAAAAGAAAACAAATTTGGATGGGAACTGTTTTCTGTAATTTTGTATAACTGTATGAAGTAGGGTTTAGCGATGCTGACCAATTTGACATCGCATGATGTCTAATGTGAAACATCAAGATGGACGATGGCATCGTCGTTGTAGGTGGCAGTGAATTAATTATTTATAAAATAATTAATTCATAATGAATCAATTATTTGTATAGTCTACCATTTCAACTACCTGGGGTCCATTCTTCGTACCTCGCTTAAATGATATAAGATGATTTGTCTTATCCTGGATCTGTTCATCTTGATAACTGATCTCTGGCTAATTTGGTTTTTCAAACAAGTTTGCGAATCAGATTAAAAAGTCTGGATGAACTGATCTGAAATCGCTGCATGTGTTGTGAAGGACTGATCTATCCTGATCATGATCAGTAATGTAACGATTGGCTGACGGCACAGCAGCGTAATGACATCATCTGATTAATATTCAATTATCCATAACAGCAAAATTACATCAAATTAGCATTAAATGGTTTGTGAAATATGACACGCAATAACTTCTCACGTTTGTTGTGGGCTGCAGGCTTTACACTTTCATGTGTCAAGAGAATTCATCATTTATTTCATTGCATATCAATGTATCGAATCGAATATTGTGCATGTACGCGTTTGCATCTTAAAAGTTCATATCAATAAATTTTGTCTTTGAACCACCAAGTGGCAGTCTTTTACTTTTATTTCGGATTGCATAAGTTTTATTAATGATGTATTTTTAACTTATATTTATACATATATACTATTTACCCAAGTATATTACTACTGTAAGAAAACATCAGCATTTGGTACATTCTTTCAGTATTATCTTTGCTTGAACTGACCCAATCTAATCCTGTTTATATAAAATGAACCTGCTCCTATACGCAGGCTTGAGCTACCAGAACTGTTACTATGACAACAAGTCTCAGATGAGTTTTGAAGAACAAAATGATCCTGGATCATGTCAACATCCAAATCCAGCTAATTGAGTAATCCACGTACGAAGAACGAACCCCTAACCTGCATGATCTTTGTTTTACCCATAACCAAATCATAAATAAATAATAATAAGTTACCTACAAATTACTACCTGTCAGTCATTTTTTTCCGCGGAACTCATACATGAATAGGCAGAGTAATATGTGTTGTTATAACAGTGTCAACAAACTTGCTTGGTAAAAAGGTGCACAACCAACAGTATCTGAGTGTGGAGAGGTAAGCATGATCGAACACCCAATGAGGGGGGAGAGCATGCTCAGAGCCTGGCGGCTAATCAGCAGGCCAATCAGAAATAATAAATAACACCTGTTTATTCTAGTGATTGAGCCGGAGAGACACCCTTCTTAAGGAGAAGAGAAGGAGCAGCCGGAGAGAGCACACACACACCTTAACTGCTACACGTGTTGTGCATTGAAAAAAAAATAAAAGTATATTATTTACCTGATATTGCCGACCCTGTCTTCTTCTTCCCACACAACAACGAACGATATTACACTGAGGTTTTCACAAAAATTAAGATTGAAGCAGTGTACTGACGCTGACACGTTACCTGAAAGATTCAAAAGACAAAAAAGTCGTTAGAGAGAGACAAGATGAATTAAATATCACATTTAACTACTATAATGAGACGCAATCCATTTTCAGACCATAAAATTGTGACGTTTGAGATCACTTTTACCCATAAAATAAGCTACTAACTCATCTAATATCTCCAGGCGGTTTAGTAGATTTAAGGGCTCTTCTATTGATCTGTTTATAAATTTGTACATTAATGATCAACATACAACTATGCTAGAGAACCCTCCCTCTTATTTGGATGTGGACCACCTGTGGAATTGTTTAATTGCTATTTTTAAAATAAACCTGACATTTTATTTCAAATGTCAAATGTTGTTATGGAGGAATTATGCGATACATGTGAAGCTTTTTTAAACTTCTTCTTGGATAAGATTTCTTAAATTAGGTCTGGAATCGTTAGCTATGATATTGTTTTTCCTGAACCTGGCGTGTCCCCTGCTGCACTTGTTAGTTTCACACTTATCTATTTTGTGTCTCTGACAGATACAGTGGGCCGAATAAAACTTAGCAGCTGTCCATTGGATATTTTCCCATCAAAGTTTTTTAAGCTAGCCTTTGAGATTATAGGCCCTAGTATATTGTCCATTATTAATAGGAGTCTTGTTTCTGGAATGGTGCCTTCACAACTGAAACATGCTGTAGTGCAGCCTCTTCTGAAAAAGCCAAATTTGGATAAATCTGTGCTGTTCAATTTTAGCCCTATTTCAAAACTACCCTTTTTATCTAAGATCTTGGAGAAAACTGTTTAACACAACTGCAGAGCTTTCTGGAGCTTAACGGTGTTCATAAAGCTTTTCAATCAGGTTTTATGGCATACCATAGTACTGAGTCTGCACTGCTATGTGTGATGAATAACATTTTATTAATTTAGGGACTCGGGGCACTCTAAGACCCTTTTGCTTCTTGACCTTATTTCAGCTTTTGCCACTATAGACCATGAGATCCTTATTTCCCATCTTGAGAATTTGGTGGGCATTTAGGGCTCTGCTCTTAAATGGTTTAGATCTTGGTTGTCAAACAGAAACTTTTGTGTTAATGTTGGTCGGAGCTTTTCATCCTCCAGACTCCTGACCTGTGGAGTTCTGCAAGGGTCTATACCTGGACCCATTTTATTTTCTTTATATATATTTACCTTTATTTTTTTCATAAATATGTTGTGGCTTATCATTTTGATGCTGACGACTCTCAGATTTATGTCTCTCTTAAAAATAATGATCAAAATGGCCTTGACTCCCTTATGAGATGTCTAATTGAGGTTAGGACCTGGCTGTTGTCAAATTTTTTCAATTTTAATGAGGAAAAAACTGAGCTGGTCTGGTTTGAGGATCCTACCCCTCTGGAGTTATTAGGTTTAGGTGAGCTATCAATTTATTAAAAACCTGTTGTTAGAAACCTTGGGTTTCAGTTTGATAGTGATCTAAAATTTAATAAAAAAGTAAATTCAGTTGTTAAATCCATTTTATTCTATTTATGACTTGTGGCAAAAGTGACTTCTCCCTTTTAATGACCTTTAGAGGGTGATTTATGCTGTTATTTTGGGGAGACTTGACTATTGCAGCTCTCTATAAGTAAGTATTAGTCAAAATGCCCTGAACTGATTGCAATTAGTCCAAAATGCGGCTGTAAGACTTCTGACAGGGACTCGCAAGTATGAGCACATATCCCCAGTTCCCCTTCGGGGGGAACTCCAGCACTATAAGTGGATTTGATGTTCTAAATCCACATATGGGAGGTTCGGTTTAGAAGCTACTCGTCTGAAAGAGTATTGAACGGGCCAATTAAGAATGAATTGGCAGCGCAAGCCTGTGCAGGTGTGCGGCATATGCAATCAACTGAGTATATAAGCACGCCTGGCGCCAGCAGACGCTATCCTTTTCGCTTCAGAGCCTTTTCTGATCGAGCTTATGAGGGTTCCTCCTGCTGATCTACAGCCATTCCGAGAGAACGATTGCATCCCGGTCCAGAGCGAGTCCACGCAGCGGCAGACGGTCGAGCTGGGTATCTCCCTTTCCTGGCGTCCCTTTGGGTCCGGTCCTCCAAGAGCGGTGCGTATTGTTGCAAACTTCCTAAAAGAGCAACACAGTCGTGCAGCACGTCCTTTTCAGGATGGCGCTCCGACTGTGCGTTTCTGGTTGTGGGGGTTTCCTGGCTCCGGATGATGGACACGATCACTGCATTACATGTTTGGGGGTCCAGCATGTTAATGTGGTGCTCGGGGGCGGTTCATGTCGTCACTGCGATACCATGACCGTTGCGCAGTTGAGATCGCGGTTAGCTTTCGTAAGAGAGCGAGCCACCCCAGTTGCCTCCTGCTCATCAGCGGGCGCTCGGGCAGATCTGAGGGCTTCAGCGAGAGACTATCCGCCACCCACGGGCTCGCGGACCTCTCGCTCCTCCAAGCGCTCCATCGAAGCTTCGGGTACTGGGAGTGATGCGTCTAATCAGATGGTAGCTCTCACGCTCGCTGACATCGGAGATCAGATGTCCTCTGCGGCTTGCGGGCATCCGCGTACTCAATTATTTCGACGACTGGCTGATTTTAGCCCACTCTCTGGAGCAATTGACTGCGCACAGAGACGAGGTGCTCCGGCATCTCCGCCTACTGGGGTTGCAGGTCAACTGGGAAAAGAGCAAACTCGCCCCGGTGCAGAGGATCTCTTTTCTCGGGATGGAGCTGGACTCGGTCACCATGGTAGCGCGCCTCTCCGGAGAGCGCGCTCGCCTGCTGCTGAACTATCTGAGGGAGCTCGACAGCAAGTTAGTGGTCCCACTGAAATATTTTCAGAGGCTCCTGGGGCATATGGCTTCCGCTGCGGCTGTCACGCCGTTCGGATTGCTCCATATGAGACCACTTCAGCACTGGCTTCAAGATCGAGTTCCGAGACGCGCATGGCATGCGGGCACACACCGAGTCTCTGTTACTGTGCTGTGTCACCGCACCCTCAGCCCCTGGAACGACCCCTCGTTCCTGCAGGCCGGTGTGCCTCTGGGACAGGCGTCCAGTCATGTTGTTGTTTCGACAGATGCTTCCAGCACAGGCTGGGGAGCCGTGTGTCGCGGGCATGCAGCTGCGGGCCTGTGGGTAGGTACCCAGCTGCATTGGCACATCAATCGCCTAGAGCTGTTGGCAGTGTTCCTTGCTCTCCGCCGTTTTTCTCCGGCGCTGGAGCAGCAACACGTGCAGGTCAGGACGGACAGTACGGCGGCGGCTAATGTGCAAGGTCAGGGAGGACGAGGAGCAGGTTTTGTTAGTTGCGCCCCTCTGGCCCAACCGGACCTGGATATCAGAGCTCTCCCTCCTCGCGACGGCCCTCCCTTGGCAGATCCCTTTGAGAGAGGACCTACTTTCTCAGGGACAAGGCACCGTCTGGCACCCTCGTCCCGATCTCTGGAACCTCCACGTGTGGTCCATAGACGCGAGGAAGACTTAGGTAACCTGCCGCCCGCGGTGGTTGATACCATCACTCAGGCTAGAGCCCCCTCTATGAGGCGCGCCTACGCCCTGAAGTGGAGTCTATTCACTGAGTGGTGTGTCTCTCGCAGAGAAGACCCCCGATCTTGCCAGATCAGTGTTGTGCTCTCTTTCCTTCAAGAGAAGCTGGACAGTAGGCTGTCGCCCTCCACTCTCAAGGTTTACGTTGCTGCCATCTCTGCTCACCATGACGCAGTGGCTGGCGGCACCGTGGGAAAGCCTAACCTCATCATCCGGTTCCTCAGAGGCGCTAGGCGAATTAATCCAACTCGCCCCCCTCTCACGCCCTCTTGGGATCTCGCCCTCGTTCTCACGAGCCTGCGATTTGATCCCTTCGAGCCACTCGATACAGTATCTTTAAGATTTCTGTCCCTGAAGACAGCTCTGCTGGTCGCGTTGGCCTCCATTAAGAGGGTCGGGGACCTGGAGGCATTTTCGGTCAGTGACTCGTGCCTGGAATTCGGGCCGGGATTTTCTCACGTTATCCTGAGACCCCGCCCGGGTTATGTGCCCAAAGTTCCTACCACTCCCTTTAGAGATCAGGTAGTAACCCTGCAAGCGCTGCCCCCGGAGGAGGCAGACCCAGCCCTGTCTTTACTTTGTCCAGTTCGCGCTCTGCGCATTTATGTGG